CGTCCAACAGCTGGGTCGTGGGTTGTCTAGGCTGACGTTGGCGAGTCCCACTAAAGTTTCTGGCGTACGTAGACAGTCTTCTGCGCCTGAAATTCAAGCCAGACAGTTGGGTAAATACTTTATATTTGTATTTTTTGTTTATGCATAGGTCTAAGGTGCAGAGGCGTAGCGATGGGGGGGGAAGGGGGGCAGGAGGGTACATATGTCCCCGGGCGCCGACCTTTGGGGGCGCCAAAATGGGTTGTAAAAACAAATTAAAATGTCATTTTAGCTGCATTCTTGCATTATATATTGTTTGAGGGGGGCGGGTGCAAATCGAAAGTTTGAGGGGGTTGCAAATGGAAAATTTGCTCCCGAGGGGGCGCCAAATTGAAGGGTCGCTTCGCCTCTGCTTAGGTGTTTTATGTATACATATTGTATGTATAGACAATGGCGTCACTAGATCGTGTGTCACCCTGTGCGGTTACTGAGGGTGTCACCCCCCCCACACACACACACACACACACCTCACCCCGTTAAAAAAACAATTTTTAAATTTTCAGTTTAATATCATCACTCTCCCTCTACTATATTATTAGTTGAACTGGATAAAAATTGTTTTGACTATAAACATTATAAATCTGAATTTTTAGATTGGTGTCATCCCTCTTCCTCTAATATTGTATCATTTAAACTGGATAAAAATTGTTTTGACTATAAACATTACAATTCTGAATTTTTAGATTGGTATCACCCCTCTCCCTCTAGTGTTTTATTACTTAAGCCCGTTAAAAAAACTATAAAGATTACGATTTTATTTTTTAATTTGATGTTACCCCATAAATGGCGTCACTCAGTAAGCACGCCCCCCCCCCGGCCTTGTGACGCTACTGTGTACAGATATACTTATAGACACCGTCTAATTTATTGTTCCATCACTGGCAGATGTGACAGAATTGAAAACTCCATATCCAGTCGAGACGTTTGGGTATGTATTCTTCCGCGGTACAGCTTCTCATCGGTTGTAAATAAGTGACAAATGTCAAGGACACAAGTCTCGCTTTAATTGTTTCTCCATCCTCCTTCCTCTCTTCCCCTTTTACCTCGCTCCCCCCCCCCCCCCCCACTCTCTCTCTCTCTCTTCCCCTCTCTCCCCCTCTATCACGCTCTCTTGCTCCCTCTCTCTACTCTCTCCCTCTCTCTACTCTCTCTCTCTCTCTGTCGCTCTCTTGATTGCTCGCTCTCTCTCTCTCGCTCTCTCTCTACTCTTCTATCTCCCTCTCTCCCCCTCTTTCTCGCTCTCTTGCTCGCTCTCTCTCACGCTCTCTCGCTCTCTCCCCCCTCTCTCTCTCTCACTCTCTACTATCTCCCTCTCTCTCTCTGTCGCTCTCTTGCTTGCTCGCTCTCTCTCTCTCTCTCGCTCTCTCTCTCTCTCTTCCTCTCTCTTTCTCTCTACTCTCCCTCACTCCTTCTTTCTCTTCTATCTCTCTCATTCTCCGAACAGGAAGTAAAACTGCTCGTACACATTTTGTCCGCCTTCCTCTCCTTACCTCCTTCTCCACCCCTCTCTCTCTCCCTCTATATATCTCAATGTCTCTCTATGCTGACCTCACCCAAACCTTCATTTTCCGAGGTCAAGAAAGATGAACTCTACTTCATCTGTAGGGGTTCGCTAGGTCTAAAGGGGAATGTTTATTTTTTTAATATTTTGTTACACACAAAACAGGCCTACAAAACTTCATTTTCAGTTAACATTATCTTATGGGTAACGACATTTACGATTGGGTTTGTTCGATAAAAATATAGTAGAAAAAAAAACTAACTTTAAAGCATTCTATTTATATTGCAGATGCTTATTTTTGTTTTTGTTTTGTTTATTTGCAGTTCAGGGGGTGGCGATGGTATTTATGAAAAGTTTCCTCAACCTGCGGAGCCATTAAAACCTGCGGAGCTGTTCCCACCTGCGGAGCTGGTCTCACCTGCGGAGCTGTTCCCACCTGCGGAGCCAGTCCAACCGTGCCCTGTCGAGCCTGCCGTGGCTGTTCACCCTGGCCAACCGGTTGTGCCGGCCCTGGTACTGGGACCCTGCCCAGGCCGTGGAGCCCGCTATGGCTGGGGGGCCTGTCCCTACCCCAGGGAGTAGCTTTCTCTTGGTGCGAATATACGTGTGGTTCGTATCGCTGTTTACGCCTGTCCAGTACACCCAGATCACCATGAAGCAATTCCTGTTTGATTACCTTGCTAAAGGACTGGTGAGAGTTTTCACATTTCTTTCTTTTTTTTTTTTGTTCTGTACCTCTCTAAAAAAAAGTATCATCTTTAGATTTAACAATAAACAAGTATCAACGCAGTGTTCGGAGTGGTTGGGGCGGGAAAGCTCGTGGTTGCTAAACCAAAAAGTCTCGAGTTCGAATCCCCACGGAGACAGCAAACCTAACTAAAAAAAATCTCCAAAATAAAAAAGCTGTAGAAGAAAACCCTAACTGATAGGAAAACATGCAGTGTTTCTTCCAGACTTTTTTCTCCGGGGGGGGGGGGGGGGGGGGGGGGGGCACTTGAAATTTTCGGAGGGGGGGCGGTAGACTTCCTTCGGGGGGGGGGGGCGGACACTGTTAAAAGTATATATTTTCTATATAAATTATATAAATTTCATTTCGTTCGGGGGGGGGGGGAGGGGGGCGGTAAAAAGAAGAAGAGATGCCTGGAAGAAACTCTGAAAACATGGAAGAGAACGATTGAGGAAGAGGCGAAAACAGCTGGGCTCACATGGGCACAGATTAAAGGGAGCAGCCCAAAACCGAGTCCGCTGGAGATGTGTGGTTGCAGCCCTTTGCTCCCCAGGGGCCACAAAGGAATGATGATGATGATAATGATGATGAGAAGAAAACCCAGAAAGAAAAGCAGGCTGAAATCTGAGTCAACGGGCCATATGGCTTATAACAAGTTGACACGTAAATACTCAATTGTGTTAGAGGAAATCTTATCCAACTTTAACAATGAAAACAAATCATACACAATTCACAAAAAAAAAATCGATTTTTCTTGATGGTCAAAAGGCTAATCTAGCGCTAATCGAAACCGATTGCAAATTGTTTTGTTTTGTTTTTAAATACGATACAGGTGCAGCAAGTGGAAGTCGTAAACTATGCGTGGGTCCGAGTCTGGCTGTTGCCTAATGGTCAAGTTGATTCACCAGTAAGTTGTTTTATACATAGCATTTTTATACATACCTCATCTAGTCATCTTGTGTTCTGAATTAGTCATACCGCTCTCTGAATTAGTCATACCGCTCTCTGAATTAGTCATACCGCTCTCTGAATTAGTCATACCGCTCTCTGAATTAGTCATACCGCTCTCTGAATTAGTCATACCGCTCTCTGAATTAGTCATACCGCTCTCTGAATTAGTCATACCGCTCTCTGAATTAGTCATACCGCTCTCTGAATTAGTCATACCGCTCTCTGAATTAGTCATACCGCTCTCTGAATTAGTCATACCGCTTTCTGAATTAGTCATACCGCTCTCTGAATTAGTCATACCGCTCTCTGAATTAGTCATACCGCTCTCTGAATTAGTCATAATGTGATCTGAATTCGTCGCATTATGATCTGTATTAGCTGGGCTAAGATCTAAATTAGTCATACCTTCTATAAATTGGTCACATTGGTTCCTAAATTAAATCAAAGTGCTTGAAATTAGTCACCATGTGCTCTGAATTAGTCACCATGTGCTCTGAATTAGTCACCATGTGCTTTAGTTAGCTAAACTGTGCTATGAATTATTCAACCTTTTGTGCTATGAATTAGTCAACAAGTGATCTGATTTAGTCACCCAGTGCTCTGAATTAGTCACACTAAGCTCTGAATCAGTTATACTGCACGTTAGTAACACCAGTAGTCCATTTGCTTAGTGCTCCAATTTAGCAACTCTCTATACTAGCCATAGAGCGTCACCAGCAAGTTTTTTTTTTTTTTTTTTTTTTTTTTTGTTGTTTTTTTTTTTTGTTCATTTTATTTCATCTTTCGTATATTTTGTTCATTTAATTCAAATAATCTTGAATATATTTTGTTCATTTCATTCAAATAATCTAGCGTATATTTTGTTCATTTCATTCAAATAATCTTGAATATATTTCGTACATTTCATTCAAATAATCTAGCGTATACTTTGTTCATTTCATTCAAATAATCTAGCGTATATTTTTTATAAATACCTAGGATAAAACATAACTTTGATATAAATGGGTTAAAATGGTAGGTTCTAATGCGTGAAATAGCGGTAGAGCGCTAGACTGATAAACCGAAAATCTCGAATTGGAATTCTGGTTCAAATAAGTAGAACATCCCTCAATCCATTAAGCTCTGATGGGTACCTAGCACACGTTATGCAAAAAAAGGCGGCTGGGCATAGTGCTGACTACACTATTCCTTTCATATGCCGAGGTCACAGAAATAGGTGAACTCTACTTGCCCCGTGTGTCGTCAGGTTCTAAAAGGAAACTTTAATGCTATATAACAGTAGTCAGTAGAACTTCTTTCTTATTATTAAAATCAAATCTATGTGTTAACGTTTTTTTCAGCCTTGCGTATTTTTCGTCCTTGGATGTTTGCAAAAATTTGAAAAGGATCTGGAGCAGGCCCAGAGGGAAATGAAGAAAGAACGATCGGAGTTTGTCGCAGTGATGTACACGACCGAACAAAGTTTCCTAGAGAGGTAGGGTGGTCGTCACCGGTTTTTACATAGGTCACTAGCTCACAGGCTTTTACGTAGGTCACTAGAAGCTTTTACTTAGGTCACTAGCTCACAGGTTTTTACATAGGTCACTAGAAGCTTTTCCTAAGGTCACTAGAAGATTTTACTTAGGTCACTAGAAGCTTTTACTTAGGTCACTAGCAAACAAGCTTTTACTTAGGTCACTAGAAGCTTTTACATAGGTCACTAGTTCACAAGCTTTTACTTAGGTCACTAGCAAACAAGCTATTACTTAGGTCACTAGAAGCTTTTACATAGGTCACTAGCTCAGAAGCTTTTACTTAGGTGACTAGAAGCTATTACTTAGGTCACTAGAAGCTTTTACATAGGTCATTAGCTCAGAAGCTTTTACTTAGGTGACTAGAAGCTTTTACTTAGGTGACTAGAAGCTTTTACTTAGGTCACTAGCTCACAGGCTTTTACTTAGGTCACTAGAAGCTTTTACTTAGGTGACTAGAAGCTTTTACTTAGGTCACTAGCAAACAAGCTTTTACTTAGGTGACTAGAAGCTTTTACTTAGGTCACTAGCTCAGAAGCTTTTACTTAGGTCACTAGAAGCTTTTACTTAGGTCACTAGCTCACAGGCTTTTACGTAGGTCACTAGAAGCTTTTACTTAGGTCACTAGAAGCTTTTACTTAGGTCACTAGCAAACAAGCTATTACTTGGGTCACTAGAAGCTTTTACATAGGTCATTAGCTCACAAGCTTTTACTTAGGTGACTAGAAGCTTTTACTTAGGTCACTAGAAGCTTTTACTTAGGTCACTAGCAAACAAGCTTTTACTTAGGTCACTAGCAAACAAGCTTTTACTTAGGTCAATAGAAGCTTTTACTTAGGTCACTAGTTCACAAGCTTTTACTTAGGTCACTAGCAAACAAGCTATTACTTAGGTCACTAGAAGCTTTTACATAGGTCATTAGCTCACGGGCTTTTCCTAAGGTCACTAGAAGCTTTTACTTAGGTCACTAGTTCACAAGCTTTTACTTAGGTCACTAGTTCACAAGCTTTTACTTAGGTCACTAGCAAACAAGCTTTTACTTAGGTGACTAGAAGCTTTTACTTAGGTCACGAGAAGCTTTTAATTAGGTCACTAGCTCACAGGCGTTTACTTAGGTCACTAACTCACATGCTTTTACTTAGGTCACTAGCTCACAGGCTTTTACTTAGGTCACTAGAAGCTTTTATTTAGGTCACTAGAAGCTTTTACATAGGTCACTAGCTCACAAGCTTTTACTTAGGTCACTAGAAGCTTTTACTTAGGTCACTAGCAAACAAGCTTTTACTTAGGTCACTAGAAGCTTTTACTTAGGTCACTAGAAGCTTTTACATAGGTCATTAGCTCACAAGCTTTTACTTAGGTGACTAGAAGCTTTTACTTAGGTCACTAGAAGATTTTACTTAGGTGACTAGAAGCTTTTACTGAGGTCACTAGCAAACAAGCCTTTACTTAGGTCACTAGCAAACAAGCTTTTACTTAGGTGACTAGAAGCTTTTACTTAGGTCACTAGAAGCTTTTACTGAGGTCACTAGAAGCTTTTACTGAGGTCACTAGAAGCTTTTACTTAGGTCACTAGAAGCTTTTACTTAGGTCATTAGCTCACAAGCTTTTACTTAGGTCACTAGAAGCTTTTACTTAGGTCACTAGAAGCTTTTACTTAGGTCACTAGAAGATTTTACTTAGGTCACTAGAAGCTTTTACTTAGGTCACTAGCAAACAAGCTTTTACTTAGGTCACTAGAAGCTTTTACTTAGGTCACTAGAAGCTTTTACTTAGGTCACCACTAGAAGCTTTTACTTAGGTCACTAGAAGATTTTACTTAGGTCACTAGACGATTTTACTTAGGTCACTAGAAGCTTTTACTTAGGTCACTAGCTCATAAGCTTTTACTTAGGTCACTAGACGATTTTACTTAGGTCACTAGAAGCTTTTACTTAGGTCACTAGCTCATAAGCTTTTACTTAGGTCACTAGACGATTTTACTTAGGTCACTAGAAGCTTTTACTTAGGTCACTAGCTCATAAGCTTTTACTTAGGTCACTAGAAGCTTTTACTTAGGTCACTAGAAGCTTTTACTTAGGTCACTAGACGATTTTACTTAGGTCACTAGAAGCTTTTACTTAGGTCACTAGAAGCTTTTACTTAGGTCACTAGACGATTTTACTTAGGTCACTAGAAGCTTTTACTTAGGTCACTAGCTCATAAGCTTTTACTTAGGTCACTAGCTCATAAGCTTTTACTTAGGTCACTAGAAGCTTTTACTTAGGTCACTAGCTCACAGGCTTTTACTTAGGTCACTAGAAGATTTTACTTAGGTCACTAGAAGCTTTTACTTAGGTCACTAGCTCACAGGCTTTTACTTAGGTCACTAGAAGATTTTACTTAGGTCACTAGCTAGGTTGGTTTTTCTTCAAATCCTATTACCATGGATAAATATCTACATTTCAACCTAATTAGAATAGGCCCACATCACAAGCTTAAACCACATCACAAGCTTAAATGATCAATAGAACCCAAGTCCTTTATTGGTATGGCCCTTATGTAAGGGATTATAGCCTACGCGTCTCTCGCGCTCAATGCAAATAGTATAGTGTGGCACATTCTACAGGGGTCGTCCATAAATGACATCACACTCGTAGGGGGGGGGGGGGGGCGTAATTTTGTGAGGGTGTGTGATGACGGGGAGGAAGGGCGGGTGTTTAGATGGTGTGACGTCACTTTTTTTTTACAAGCTTTTATTTAACTCACTTCCTCTGTCGCCAGTCTGTTGACAGTCTGTCGACAGTCTATCTGTCGTCAGTCTAGATCGAAACGCAGGAGTGAAAATTCGGAAACTTCTACTTGACCGATACGATTCACATTTGGCACGTGGGTCAAGACATGAAGACAATGCAATCTGAAACTAAATTTGACTTAATTGGATGCCTAATTAATTTTTTATGAATTAATTAAAATTTGGACCGAATCAATAGGCATGTCTATCCAACCACATCACACGCGTCATCACGTTCAATCGCTGCGCCATCACCTTCAGTAGGCGCGCCATCACGTTCAATAGACGCGCAATGGTTTTTAGTCATGTAACACTAGTGTTAATAAAACATGTAAAGTACTGAAAAAAAATTCATAAAAAACGTTTTAATAACAAGCTTTTATGTAATGATGCACTAAAAAGTAGAAAATAAATTATACACTACTATTTAAATTACTATAAAGAAAAGCGTGGGTCTCTTCTCAAATATTAGTAAAGGTATCCAATAGGTACTAAAGTACTAAAGTGACCCACGCTTTTCTTTATAGTAATTTAAATAGTAGTGTATAATTTATTTTCTACTTTTTAGTGCATCATTACATAAAAGCTTGTTATTAAAACGTTTTTTATGAATTTTTTTCATTCTAAAAAAGCAATGTTAGAAAACGAGTTTTTAGCCGTTATTTCGCGTTTTAGAAAACCGTTTTAATTAAATTGCAATAGGAATTGTTCAACATACTCTGTGTTGACAGAGTTCTGACAAGATTTTGGAAAAATATCGATGTTGTAAATAAAATTCAACAGCAATTTCGAGCGGGGAGGGTTGGAGGCTGAGGTATGAGGGGGGGGGGGGGGGGGGGAGACCTGGCTTTTTGTGACAACGTGTGACGGAAGGGGGGGGGGAGGTAAAAATCCTCAAAAAAGCGTGACGTCATTTATGGATAACCCCCTACAGTAAGCTTACATTTTTTATCATTATACTTCAATACATTAGTAGTTGCTGTAATAGGCTTGAAAAGTCTATGTAATCATACTAAATATTTTTAAACACATTTTTATATGGCAAGCGATACAATTATAGTTACATTTTTTTTAATTAAGCCATTGAAAAGGCGCTTAGAATTATTTTATTAATTGAAAAAAAAAAAAAAAACGCCCTCAACCTCTCCTTGAAGCCAATCTGAGTAGTCAGTGTAAGTAAAACAATAATAGTCAGAGGCGTAGCGAGAGGAGGACAGGGGGGGGGGTGCGGACCGCATCGGGTGACACCATTTAGGGGGGTGACACCAAGGCAAAAATAGTAAAATATATAGAGAACAATTTGAGGGGGGGGGGGCTGCAAATCGAAAGTTTGAGGGTGGGAGGGGGGGTTGCAAATCGAAAGTTCGAGGGGGTGCAAATCGAAAATTGAAAGTTTGTCCCCTGATAGAGTCGCTACGCCTCTGGGGGGGGGGTGACACCATTAAGTGCCGCACCGGGTGACACCCAACCTCGCTACGCCACTGATAATAGTCACAACAATTTTAAATAAAATACACAATAGAGGTCCTGGTAGTAGTTTGTTTATATTAAATAATATAACATCCTTCATCACCACAGCACTCTGAATCTACTTATCCAAATTAAAAATAAAAGTTGTTAACTGACTTACTATAAGATTACTCGTACTTATTTCTTTGAATATTTCTAGCCTTAATAAAACGGAATGTCAATTTGAACTTATTTCACACATGTAAAAAAATATTCAATTTTGTTTGAGAAATATTTGAAACCAGCTTTTCAAGCCTATTAAAATCTATATGAAATTTTTAAAATATTGAAAAATAAAATTTTAATATGGATTCTGTGGGCAACCACTGCGCTTACGTATAAACTTTAAAGAACATGTTAAGATTCTCATTTTCTGACTCTTAAAGATGTTTGTAATTATAAGTGATATATATATATATATATATATATATATATATATATATATATATATATATATATATATATATATATATAATATATAAAGCTCAGTTCTGTATGTAATGCATTTGTATGTCGTTGGAATTGTACGAATTTAAGTGTTAGAAAATTATCGTGCGCATTTGTCTAAATTTATGAGCTAAAAAATTACCATTGAAAGTGTTGGGAAATCATTTTCATTTTTCAAATTACAGTAATAATTGTCGGCATGTTCATTAAACACAAGTTTTAAAAAAATATCATCTTTTACAAAAATTCTAATTATGTCTTTATTTAGTCCTATAGCACTTACTTCCCTTTGATAAATTAGGAAAACAAAATTACTTCCCTTTATAAAACCATTGCATTAGTCGAAAATAATTTACTTTTTAATTACTTTGTTTTGGTGTTGGGAAAAAAAAATAATTACATAATTAGCGGGGATTGATCAAGTGCAAATGTTGTAGGTATTTTACGGATAAGCTTGGAGTATTAAAATTGTTCATCAAATTGAAACAGGCGCGTTCGTTTAAGTGAGTGCAAAAGACTATGAATAAGTTGGGTACTATAGTCGTTCATTAAGCTAAAACAGGTGATTCCGCCCCGGGCGTTTATGTTCGCGTTAGTGTTTTCTTTGTGTTTAGGTGGGTTTGCGTTAGTGGTTGCGTTTTGATTTGGTTCGTTTTTGTTCTTTCTTTTTTCGTTTTTGTTTGTGTTTTTTTTTTGTGGGTTTGTATTTGTGTTTTTGGTTGGTTTTGCGTTTGAATTTGGTTTGTTTTCGTTTGCTTTTTCGTTGTTTTTTTTTTTTGTTGGTATTGGTGTTTGTGGTTGGGTTTGTTGTTAGGTTTTTGTTTTCGTTTGCTTTTTTGTTTGTTTTTTCTTTGTGTTTGTATTGGTGTTTGTGGTTGTGGTTGGGTTTGTTGTTAGGTTTTTGTTTTCGTTTGTATTTGTAATTGTGTTAGCGTAATGTTTGCGTTTTGTTGTTTTGGTTTTGGTTGGTTGTGGTTTGGGTGGGCAATGCCGGGTTTATGATGATTACTAAACACACAGGTAATGGTCTTTAACAGGAAGGTTTTTCACAGAAGCCAGAGCAGGGCGTGGCCGGGACGGCTAGTCTAATATATAAAGCTCAGTTCTGTAACGTGTGGCAAAAAAGTTTGTCGTTGACAGTTCTATGGATTTAAGTGTTAGATTTTTTTATCGTGCTCAAAGTCTAAATTTACGAGTCAAAAAATTACCATTGAAAGTCTTTAAAAACAATTTTCATTCTATTTACTTAGAAGAATAATTTTCAATTATGAACACGACATAAAAATTTTAAAAAGTGTATCGACGTTTATAAAATTTCTAAAATTGTGTCGGAAATGTATTGACTGCACAGTTACTTCCCTTTAATAAAAAAAAAATTCTTAAGAAGAAAGAATTTACATTTTATTACTTTGTTTTTGGTGTTAAGAAAAAAAAAATTATTACATAATTAGCGGGGATTGATTAAGTGCAATGTCGTTAGGTATTTTAAACACTGCCTTTTATTTATTCCATATACTGAACATACTGTTCAATATTTTTTTTTAAATCAATAACATTTAATAAGCCAGGTCCTACAAATCCTATATGTTTATTTCTTTCCATTTACGGATAAGCTTGGAGTATTATCATTTTTGTTCACTAAATTGAAACAGGCTCGTCCGCCGGCGCCCTTGCACGGTTCGATTTGGCACCCTGGGCTATCATGTGAGCGCTATGCTGCATAATTTTGTTTTTAACAGTGCGATAGACTATGGATAAGAAAGGTTACTATAGTCTTTAAGTGAATCAAATCCGGGCGTCCTCCCGCACACCGTCAGGGTGCTATTTGGCGCCCCGGGCCTTCCGGTGTACGCTATGGTATATACGTTCGCGTGAGTTCAAAAGACTATGAATAAGTTATGTACTATAGTCGTTTACTAAGTTCAATCAGGCGGTGACGTCATGGTGCGTCCTCTGGCGCCCAGACAGGGTGCTATTTGGGGTCCCGGGCCTCCCGTGTTCGGTTTCGAGCCTACGTTCATTAAAGTGAGTGCAAAAGACTATGAATAAGTTGAGGTACTATAGTCGTTTATCAGGCTGAAACAGGCGATTCCGCCCCGGGCAAGACTCTGAGCACTGTGCGTTGATGTTCGCGTTAGTGTTTTCTTTGTGTTTAGGTTGGGTTTGCGTTAGTGGTTGCGTTTTGATTTGGTTCGTTTTTGTTCTTTCTTTTTTCGTTTTCGTTTGTGTTTTATCTTCTTTGCGTTTGTGTTTGTATTTGTGTTTGTGGTTGGTTTTGCGTTTGTATTTGGTTTGTTTTCGTTTGTTTTTTCGTTTGTGTTTTTTTCTTTGGGTTTGTGGTTGGTTTTGCATTTGGATTTGGTTTGTTTTCGTTTGCTTTTTCGTTTTTTTTTCTTTGTGTTCGTATTGGTGTTTGTGGTTGTGGTTGGGTTAGTTGTTAGGTTTTTGTTTTCGTTTATATTTGTAATTGTGTTAGCGTTATGTTTGCGTTTTGTTGTTTTGGTTTTGGTTTGGGTGTGCAATGCCGGGTTTATGATGATTACTAAACACACAGGTAATGCTCTTTAACAGAAAGGTTTTTCACAGAAGCCAGAGCCGGGCCTGGCCGGGACGGCTAGTATATATATATATATATATATATATATATATATATATATATATATATATATATATATATATATATATATTTCTTAACCTATATATGTTGAAACATAATATAAGTTTTCTATTAACTATTTTAATTAACAGATTGCATCAGTACGTTATATGTAAATAAACTAAAATCAAAAGACAAGTACTTTATGTGTATTTCTTTTCAGTTTTAATTAATCGAAGCATCTATGTATGCATAAAAAATGTATAGAAAATATTTTTTAATTCCTTTCATTAGGCGTTTGTTTAATTAACACTTATTTTCCTCTTATCCAGGTGGATTGGTGTGATATTTACTACCTTGCTGCTTTGCTTATTGATATATCTTCTGAACGTTGCATTTAAGCTTCTCGTAAGTGATGTTAAGCTTGTTGTTTATTACTATTTCTATTCGCTGCACAATAATCACATTGCCAGTGCTAATGTTAGATAGTTTTATTATTCAATTATTTTTAAAAATGCAGGCTTCATTTATATATAGGCGGATATGTGTGTGTCGTGTGTATGAGCGTAAGTGTGTGTGAAGCCAGTTCGCGAAGTAACCGGTGTGCTTGGCCAATGTCAGAAGAGCAGAAAACTTAGGGCCCGGCCAATGTTCGATTTAGGTTACGGTTTTATGGCATTTCGATTATTTTGGTTGTGATTTCATTGTTAGTAACTTATTCTCCGCTAGTATTTATAAAACATTCTATAGTAAGTTCAGTGAATAAAATAAATAAAAGGCGGTATTTAAAATATCCGTGTTTTAGCCACCATATTGTCCATGCTAATTACATTATTCCAACAATAATACCATAACGAACGTCCGCGAAATTTGCATTCGTAATTTTTTTTATTTGCGTGAGTTGAATTTCTTTTAAATTACTTCCCCTGGTATAATTATTAAACATTTTAATTAATTAGTTTATTTTAGACTCTACTGTTATTAAAATGTAATACATTTTTTCTAGAAATCTAGGCAAAAATATTTGACATTGATCTGATTATATGTTTTATCAATACGCGTTATTTAGAGACTTAGCGACCCTTCCCAGCGCCCGGGGACAAACTTTTCGATGTCCACCCCCCCCCCCCTCAAACTTTCGATTTGCACCCCCCCTCAAGATTTCGATTTGCAACCCCACCCCCCACCCCTCAAACTTTCGATTTGCACCACCCCCCTCAAGATTTCGATTTGCACCCCCTCAAACTTTCGATTGGCAACCCCCTAAACCTTTCAATTTATTTTTCCAACCCATTTTGGCGCCCCTTAAGGTCGGCGCCCGGGGACATATGTCGCCCCCCCCCCCCCTCGCTACGCTACTGACCCACACAGACATAAATGCTAATCAAAACCAAGGGTCTAAGACATTATAACCTGTATAAATTTCTATAACAATACCTACGCCTATTATTTATGATATGTGTAACCCGACCTTTTATAAAATGACTAGTAATTCTATAGAATTACTGATTGGCTGAGTTAAAAATTACTTCTGCTAACCGGAATGTCTCGAGTTCGGATCTCAAGCTCATGTATGTAGAGCTTCCCTGAGCTCACTCCGTTCTGATGGGTATCTCAGTGGCGTAGCGAGGGGGGGGGGTGCAGACCGCACCGCGTGACACCATTTAGTGGGGTGACACCAAGGTAAAAAAAATAGCAAAATATATAGAGAAAATGATAATTCCACTTAATTAAGTGATTAATTCGAGTGTTAAATAGTCATTTAAGAGGTGATAATCAAAAGTTTAAGGGGGGGGGGGGTGCAAATTGAAAGTTTGAGGGGGGGGGGGTTCAAATCGAAATTGGAGGGGTGGGGTGCAGATCGAAAGTCGAATGTTCGAGGGGGAATGCAAATCAAAAATTGAAAGTTTGTCCCCGGGAAGGGTCGCTACGCCTCTGGGGGGTGACACCATTAAGTGCCGCACCAGGTGACACCCGACCTCCCTACGCCACTGGGGTACCTGACTTCCATTAGGGAAATGAACGCGGCTGGACATAGCGCTGACCACACTATTCCCCTGTATGCCAAGGTCATTGAAACATGAATTCTATGTCTCCTGCCACATGTGACTTGGGCATGAATGGGAAAGATGATGATAGAGGATTGAAATACCTTGAGTATGTGTAGAGCTGCTTTATAATTATACTTTACGAGCCGACCCGCGGCATAACATACGCCGCTATTTAGTTGTTTTTTTTCTACTTTTCAGTAATTCATAATTTGTGAATTCGACAGTACCAATGCTGCCACTGAAAATATGTGCTTTAAAACACTAACCCCCCCCCCCCCCCCCCCCCCGTGAAAGCAGCCTCCTCTTAGTTACCTCCTCTAATTTTAAAATCGTTTCAAACTAAATTATCTGCCCCTAATAGCCGTCACCAAACTAAACATTTAGAGTGAACTACAACTCACCAGGCCATGTAGGGGTGGTGGTGGGGGGGGGGGGGAGGTAGCGATAGAGAGGAAGAGAGGGGACTGCAAAGGAGCGCTTGCAGCTTGTTTTCTAACGGCTCCCAGAAGAGAATTATATATATAGATAGATGAATATTTATTTTTAACAGACTTTTTTTTTTTTTTTTTTTATTTTTTTTTTTTTTTTGCCCGTAGAAATAGACAGTGGATTAAACGTAGAAAACGACTTGAGATTTGATGAAGCCTTAACGTTATGGGGTCGGAGTGGTCTAGTGGTAGAGAGCTGGACTGCTAACCCGTAAGTCTCGAGTCCGAATCCGGGCTCAAGTCAGTAGACCTTCCCTGAGTCCACCCAACTCTGATGGGTACCTAACTCACGTTAGGGAAAGTAAAGGCGGCTGGGCATAGTGCTGACCACACTATCTCTTCATATGCCGAGGTCACAGAAACAAGTGAACTCTACTCTGTAATATAGACCGTCAGGTTTGAAAAGGCAACTTTACTTTTAATTTACTTAACGTTATAAATTAAAGTTTAATAAAAGTGTATGGCATTTCAGGAACTTGGAAAACATCCAGCTCCCACCGCTAAAGTCTCAGAGAACAATATAAGTGTTAGGTTCAGGTAAATATTGATTTGCTCATACGTTTTTTTACTTTCTCGTATATACAAAGTAGAGAGAAAGTCTTGTAATCGTGTAAAGTATCGAGATTTTTGCAAATTTCGACTTTTTACAGCTCCCTGAGTCGGAAAAACATAGTTTTGCAATCTTGTCCGTATGTCTGTGGGTGTGTATGTGTTTTCGGATGTGTGTCTGTGTGTGTATCTGTTAACACGATAACTTGAGTACCGTAACAGCTAGATTGATGAAATTTCATATATAAGTATTATATAGAAATCATAGATCCGTGTCAACTTTTGAATGATTTCCGATTATCGGAAGTGGAACTTTTTGTACTTTGAGTAATTTCTGTCGACAGAAAGTAGTAATTTTTGCAATTTCTAATTTCTCGAAAAAAAACGCACTATTATGCACATTTTATTTGTCGTTCACTTGGTGAGCAATTCTTTTTTCTACGAGATTTTGTACTATTTTAAAAAGTATTTAAAAAGGATTAAAAAATCATGTCTGTGTCACGAGTTGCCATCTTCTGTTGTTTCATATAAGAATATTCGAGAAAGTTTAGGGGAGATCACTCCCGGTTTATTTTTTAATATGCATGTGTATGCGCTTCGACTTAGACAGTGACATATACAGTGGATTCAATATGTTCAATTTTCACGCATTATTTCCTTTCAGTGATGTAGCAGGCTGCGAGGAAGCTAAGCTTGAAATTATGGAGTTTGTTAATTTTTTGAAAAACCCACAGCAGTATTTAGATCTTGGAGCCACAATTCCTAAAGGTTAGTGAATTAGAAGGGGACGGCCCAAGTGGTTGTCCGTAAATGACGCCACACTCGTAGGGGGAGGAGGGGGGCGTAATTTTGTGACGGTGCGTGATGAGGCTTTATAAACAAAAAGTAATGTTAGAAAACGAGTTTTAGCCGTTATTTTACGTTTTAGAGAACGGTTTTAATAAATTGTAATAGGAATTGATCAAAATATGTTGACAGAGTTCTGACAAGATTTTGGAAAAATATCGATGTTTTAAGAAAACTTCAACTGCAATTTTGAGGGTGGGGGGGGGGGGGGGGGGTTGTAGGCTGGGGCGTGACGTCATTTTAGGTGGGGGTTTGGCCTTTTATGACGACGTGTGACAGAGGGGGGGAGGTTAAAATCGTCAAAAAAAAGCGTGACGTCATTTATGGATGACCCCTACGTCTAAAAATCTCGAGTTTGAACTCCGGGCAGATGAGGGTCAGCAACCCATCTAGGGGAGACAACTGCAAAACAGCCGTTTTTTGTGTTTTGTTTTTGGCTGGGGAAAAACTATGGAAGCAAATTCAGAAAGAAAAGAAAGCGGAAGTAACGGGTCATATGGCGCATTACATAGTGACACCAGAGTTTCTTTCAGGCACCCAGAAAGTCTACCGTTTCCCTCCCCCCCCCCCCCCTCCGCGCCGCGAACTAAATGGAATGTATATAGAAAATATATCCTTGTGCCTCCCCCCCTCCCCCCCCCCCCCCCTCTCGAAAAAAAAGTCTGAAAAAAGAAACAACGGTTGACACGCAATGGTTAACTGTGTTGGAGGAAATCCACTCCTACATTTTGTATTTAAGAACCAAGAAGACGAAGTGGTTTAGAAATGTCAATTTTAGAGTCAAATATAGGGGTCCTCGTGTTCGAGTCGATAAAAGCTCATGGTTGCTAAGCCGAAAAGTCTCGAGTTCGAACCCTCGGGCAGATGAGACTCTAGGAGAGACAACTCCAAAATCAAACAACTGCTGCCTTGTAGTTTGTTCTTGGTTGGACAAAGGCTATGGAACCAAATCCAAAAAGAAAAGTAGTCTAAAATCGGAGTCAATGGCTTCAATGGCGCATAACCAGTTGACACGTAATCCTTAATTGTGTTGGAGGGGACCCTTCCAACACTAAAATTAAGAAAGAAGAAGAAGAAAAGTCAAATATTAGCCGGGTAGAATCGCAGGACAGAACAGAGGCGTAGCGACCCTTCCCGGCGCCCGGGGACAAACTTTTCGATTTGCACCCCCCCCCCCTAAAAATTTCGATTTGCACCCCCCCCCCCTCAAACTTTTGATTTGCACCCCCCCCTCAAACTTTATATTTGCACCCCCCCCCCCTCAAGATTTCGATTTGCACCCCCCTCAAACTTTCGATTTGCACCCACCTCAATCTTTCAATTTATTTTTCCAACCCATTTGGCGCCCCCTAATGTCGGCGCCCGGGGACATATGTCCCCCCCCTCCCGCCCCCATCGCTACGCTACTGGGACAGAAATAACAAAGTGCCACTGGATCCACCTGTATTTTATTTGTTCCCTACAGGTGCAATGTTGACCGGACCACCTGGCACAGGTAAAACTCTTCTGGCAAAAGCCGCAGCGGGGGAGGCTAATGTTCCATTCATCGCTGTTGCTGGTTCTGAATTCTTGGAGGTGTATGTTGGTCTTGGAGCTTCAAGGGTTGGTATTGACAGTAGCCGATTCTTTTTTTTTAACTAAATAACTACAATAAGTAGCTCTACAAATGGAATGCTTGTTTTCGAATACAATTAAAAAAAATTAAATTAAAACAACTTCCCATGGAACGCCTTCGGTTTAATGAATCTCCTGTCCCTTGTCAGAATAAAGTAGGTGTGTGGGTGGGTGTCAAGCTTGGAAACCCCACCCCATCCCTTCCGTAAAAAAAAAAGTTTAAATACTACGTAGACGCCAATTGCAGAAACCACTGGCCTGCATCTCAACGGAAAGAGGAGATTAGGGATCGATGTGTAATAGATTAGGGATCGATTGGGTATAGATTAGGGATCGATGAGGTAAAGATTAGGGATGGGTAAGGCACATAGTTAGGATGGATAGTGAACAGACTGGGGGTGGATAGGACACATAGTGAGAGTGGATAGGGCACAATAGCGAACAGAGTGGGAGTGGATAGGGCACACGCTTTGTAAATTGTCCACCAAACTTCCCTTATGCAGGAAATAAAATGGCAAATGAAAAATGGGCGTCGCAGAATTACTTGACAACGGGCTTTTCGGGATAGAAACTATCAAGATACTATCAAGATACTATCAAGATACTATCAAGATAATATCAAGATACTATCAAGATACTATCATGATAGTATCATGAAACTATCAAGATACTATCAAGATACTATCAAGATACTATCAAGATAATATCAAGATAATATCAAGATACTATCAAGATACAATCATGATAGTATCATGATACTATCATGATACTATCAAGATGCTATCATGATACTATCAAGGTACTATCAAGATACTATCATGATACTATCAAGATAAAGATACTATCATGATAGTATCATGATACTATCAAGATGCTATCAAGATACTATCAAGATGCTATCATGATACTATCAATATACTATCAGGATACAATCAAGATGCTATCATGATACTATCAAGATAAAGATACTATCAAGATACTATCAAGATACTATCAAGATACAATCAAGGTGCTATCAAAATACTATCAAGATAAAGATACTATCAAGATACTGTCAAGATACTATCAAGATACTATCAAGATGCTATCAAGATACTATATACATATAAAAATAAGCTATAGCATGGGAATAGGTTATGTTATATGAACAGAAGAAAAATTGTGAATTGAATATAATATTTACATTTTAGGTAAGGGATACGTTTTCAAAGGCACGCAAATCGGCTCCATGTATTTTGTTTATTGATGAGATTGATTCCATTGGACGAAAGAGAAGTTCCAGCACCTGGGGAGGCTTCAGTGAGCACGAAAACACTCTAAACCAGCTTCTGTATGAGTTGGACGGTAAGTCGTCAAAAACTCTAAACCATCTCCTGTATGAGTTGGACGGTAAGTCGTCAAAAACTCTAAACTAACTCTTGTATGAGTTGGACGGTAAGTCGTCAAAAACTCTAAACCAGCTCCTGTATGAGTTGGACGGTAAGTCGTCAAAAACTCTAAACTAACTCTTGTATGAGTTGGACGGTAAGTCGTCAAAAACTCTAAACCAGCTCCTGTATGAGTTGGACGGTAAGTCGTCAAAAACTCTAAACCAGCTCCTGTATGAGTTGGATGGTAAGTCGTAGAAAACTCTAAACCAGTATGAGTGAGTTAGACGGTAAGTCGTCAAAAACGTTAAACTATCTCCTGTATAAGTTGGGCGGTAAGTCGTCAAAAACTCTAAACCAGCTCCTGTATGAGTTGGACGGTAAGTCGTCAAAAACTCTAAACTAACTCTTGTATGAGTTGGACGGTAAGTCGTCAAAAACTCTAAACCAGCTCCTGTATGAGTTGGACGGTAAGTCGTCAAAAACTCTAAACTAACTCTTGTATGAGTTGGACGGTAAGTCGTCAAAAACTCTAAACCATCTCCTGTATGAGTTGGACGGTAAGTCGTCAAAAACTCTAAACCAGCTCCTGTATGTAAGTTGTTGTTCTCTTAATATTCAAACCATCTGAATTACAATAAAGGTTACAACCATAAGCTTCTCTTAGTTTAAAAACAGAGACCTGTCTTAATGACATACAACAAAAAAAAAGACTGAAATGCCATAATCACGTACAATAATGACTAAAAACTATATTGACATACAGTAAAAAACTACTACATTTTTTCTTATCTGTAAAATTGAATGAGTGGTAAAATGACTATTTTATGACATAATTTTACGGGCAATTCAAACTTTTTATAATGATAAAAAGATGTGAGTTGGAGGGGGAGGAGGGGGGTTAGGGGCATTTTTTAAAAAGTTTAAAAGAAAACTTGTTTTTTATTATATATTTTTTTCCTTTCAAATTTGTTTAGGGTTTAACACTCAGACAGGTGTGATAGTGTTAGCAGCAACCAACAGGATCGATATTCTGGACCAGGCTTTGCTCAGGCCAGGAAGGTTTGACCGACAGATCTACGTGTCTTTACCTGATATCAAAGGGAGGTAAGTCAGGATTCAAAACGTCTACTTGCTATTTTATTTATCTCAGTTATGTTTCTTTGAAAATGAAGTTGAAGGAGGTCCACTATGATCCAATGAGGACGTCCATAAACAACGTCAGAGTATCTAGAGATGGAGGGGGGGGGGGGGTCGGACTTCTGGAAGATATGTGGGGAGGGAGAAGGAAAGTGTGACAACACATTTTTATTTATTTAATAATGGTAGAAAGTGATTTTAAACGCTAATTTGCGTTTTTTTAAAACAAAACTTTTTTTTGTTGTAAATTGTAATTAGAAAATGTATCCGTGTAGATCTCACTGTTGACCAAGCCAGTGGCGTAGCGAGGTCGGGTGTCACCTGGTGCGGCACTTAATGGTGTCACCCCCCAGAGGCGTAGCGACCCTTCCCGGGGACAAACTTTCAAATTTTCGATTTGCACCCCCCCCCCCTCAAACTTTCGATTTGCACCCACCCCTCAAGTTTTCGATTTGCACACCCCCCCTTCAAAATTTAGATTTGCACCCCCCTCAAGTTTTTCTCTATATATTTTGCTATTTTTTGGCTTGGTGTCACCCCCCCTAAATGGTGTCATCCGGTGCGTTCCGCACCCCCCCCCCTCGCTACGCCTCTGGACCAAGCTCATAAGTTATTTTAGAAACTTGGCCTGAAAGATACTTTAAAAAAAAAAACACGAATAGTAATTTTGAGGGGGGGGGGGGTGATAGGCTGAGTTGTAAGGTCATCTTTAAAGTGGAGGGGGCATCTGGCTTTTTATGATGATGTGTGATAGTGGGGAAGGGGGGGGTCAAATTTCTAATTTCAAACGTAAATGTTAAGTGTCGTCATATGACGTCATGAAACTGTAGGCAATTAGAGGCTCCAACTTGAGTGAGTTATGTAAATGATGTGAAGAGTTTGGATTGAGTGAGCTATGTAAACAGAGTTTCTTCCAGGCAACTCTTCGCCCCCCCCCCCCCCTGAAGATAGTCTACCGCCAACCCCCCCCCCCCCCCCCCCCCCCCGAAAATTTCAATTGATGATGTAAATGATGTGAAAAGAGTTTAGATTGGGTATAGAAATTTTAATAGAATCTATATTTTGTGGGGACGAAGTAGTCGTGTGGTTAGAGCTTGTGTTTGATAACTAGAAACTTCAAATGTAGTAGTCTCATAGCCAACTATATAGGCTTTGATCTAGGACTGAAAATAGAGTTACGTTCTCGCAGTGGCGTAGCGAGGTCGGGTGTCACCCGGTGCGGCACTTAATGGTGTCACCCCCCAGAGGCGTAGCGACCCTTCCCGGGGACAAACTTTCAAGTTTTCGATTTGCACCCCCCCCCCCTCAAACTTTCGATTTGCACCCTCCCTCAAGTTTTTCTCTATATATTTTGCTATTTTTTGCCTTGGTGTCACCCCCCCCCTAAATGGTGTCACCCGGTGCGGTCCGCACCCCCCGCCCCCCCCCCCCCTCTCTACGCCCCTGCGTTCTCGTTTATTAAGAGGACAAAGATGACAAAAAGTTACTCGTTGTTTCCTTATTGTTTCCATGTTATACCATTCAGTGATTGCTAATTAAATCGAGGCGGTAGCCTAATTGCAGAGGCGTAGCGAGGGCGGGGCGGGGGGTGCGGGTCGCACCGGGTGACACCATATAGGGGGTGACACCAAGGCTAAAAATTGCCAAATTTTCAGAAGAAAAATGCTTTTTCGCCTGTTAAATTACTAATTTTAAGTACAAATTAGTAATTTATAAAGATATATAGATATATTTTTTGTTTCTGGGGAGGGGGGGGTGTGACACCACGAAGTGCCGCACCGGGTGACACCCGAACTAGCGACGCCACTGCCTAATTGTTTTTTACTTCCTCCACAGAGCGTCTATTTTTAAAGTCCATTTAAAAAAACTTAAAACTAAAGTTCCTATTGATGAGCTTGCCAGGAAAATGGCGGCTCGAACCCCTGGCTTCTCAGGTATCAAAAGTTAACATCTTGCAGTTTGTATCAAAAGTTAACATTTTGCAGTTTGTATCAAAAGTTAACATCTTGCAGTTTGTATCAAAAGTTAACATTTTGCTGTTTGTATCAAAAGTTAACATCTATCAAAAGTTAACATCTTGCTGTTTGTATCAAAAGTTAACATCTTGCAATTTGTATCAAAAGTTAATATCTTGCAGTTTGTATCAAAAGTTAACATCTTGCAGTTTGTATCAAAAGTTAACATCTTGCAGTTTGTATCAAAAGTTAACATCTTGCAGTTTGTATCAAAAGTTAACATTTATCAAAAGTTAACATCTTGCTGTTTGTATCAAAAGTTAACATCTTGCAATTTGTATTAAAAGTTAACATCTTGCAGTTTGTATCAAAAGTTAACATCTTGCAGTTTGTATCAAAAGTTAACATTTATCAAAAGTTAACATCTTGCTGTTTGTATCAAAAGTTAACATCTTGCTGTTTGTATCAAAAGTTAACATCTTGCAGTTTGTATCAAAAGTTAACATCTTGCAGTTTGTATCAAAAGTTAACATCTTGCTGTTTGTATCAAAAGTTAACATTTGCTGTTTGACTCAAAAGTTAACATCTTGCTGTTTGTATCAAAAGTTAACATCTTGCAGTTTGTATCAAAAGTTAACATCTTGCTGTTTGTATCAAAAGTTAACATTTGCTGTTTGACTCAAAAGTTAACATCTTGCTGTTTGTATCAAAAGTTAACATCTTGCAGTTTGTATCAAAAGTTAACATCTTGCTGTTTGTATCAAAAGTTAACATCTTGCAGTTTGTATCAAAAGTTAACATCTTGCAGTTTGTATCAAAAGTTAACATCTTGCAGTTTGTATCAAAAGTTAACATTTATCAAAAGTTAACATCTTGCCGTTTGTATCAAAAGTTAACATCTTGCAGTTTGTATCAAAAGTTAACATATTGCTGTTTGTATCAAAAGTTAACATCTTGCTGTTGGTATCAAAAGTTAACATCTTGCAGTTTGTATCAAAAGTTAACATCTTGCAGTTTGTATCAAAAGTTAACATCTTGCAGTTTGTATCAAAAGTTAACATCTTGCAGTTTGTATCAAAAGTTAACATCTTGCTGTTTGTATCTGGGATTAAAATCATCTAGGTTTATATCATGTTTAGATTATCAGTTATTATTGCCTGATGAGGTTAGCTGTCAAATAATGCTTATCCACAGATAGTAACAAATGAAATATTTAGTAAATAAGTTTGTCATTTTAAAAAACATTAGATCTGTAAAGACTAATCCAGAATTAACCAGGGGTTTTGAGGTGTTGGTGTTGCTAAACTGTGATGTGGATTTGATTACTCATGCTGATATTGTTAAATGATGCTGTGAGTTTGATTTCACCTGGTAATATAACTATTGCGTTTTGTGAGTGAAGGTGTAGACATTGCTAATATGTGTTATGATTGAAGGTGTAGACATTGCTAATGTGTGTTATAATTGAAGGTGTAGACATTGCTAATATGTGTTATGATTGAAGGTGTAGACATTGCTAATATGCGTTATGATTGAAGGTGTAGACATTGCTAATATGTTTTATGATTGAAGGTGTAGACATTGCTAATATGTGATATGATTGAAGGTGTAGACATTGCTAATATGTGTTGTAAATTTGGTTTTGCAGGGGCAGAAATTGCTAATGTGTGTAATGAAGCAGCCCTTATAGCCTCCAGAGATTTGAGCACCTTGATTTTACCTGAACATTTTGAGCAAGCTATTGAGAGAGTTGTTGCTGGTATGAAAACACATCTGATTGTACTATAATTTACCTATTAATGTACCTTTTGGTTTAAGTTTTTTTTTTTTTTTTTTTTTTTTTTTTTTTTTTTTTTTTTTTTTAAAATGCATCTGATTGTACCGTAACTTTCTGTACCTTGTTTTAACAGTATTTGAAACATTGGGGATCTTTTTACCATGTGTAGAGTACATGTTGTTGATGTGAGAAAATAAGCTGTATCTGTTTCCACCATTCCACCACCAGGTTTAGAGAAGAAAACTCAGGTGTTACAGCCAGATGAGAAGAAAACTGTTGCCTACCATGAGGCTGGACATGCAGTAATTGGCTGGTTTCTGGAACATGCTGATCCTTTGCTGAAAGTAAGATTCTGATTGCTTTATACTGTATCTTTGCTGGAAGTAAGATTTTCTCGTTGCTTTGTACTGTATCTTTGCTGAAAGTAAGATTCTGGTTGCTTTGTACTGTATCTTTGCTGAAAGTAAGATTCTGGTTGCTTTGTACTGTATCTTTGCTGAAAGTAAGATTATGGTTGCTTTGTACTGTATCTTTGCTGGAAGTAAGATTCTGGTTGCTTTGTACTGTAATGTATCTTTGCTGAAAGTAAGATTCATGTTTCTTTGTACTGTAATGTATCTTTACTGAAAGTAAGATTCACAGGTTTCTTGTACTGTTAAGTATCTTTGCTGACAGTAAGCTTCAGGTTTCTTTGTATTGGCCTGAGGGGAGATATTATTAGGGCTAGTACTTCCCCCACACTCAACCTACAACCCATGACCTACCTAAATGAATGCTGTCTCATGCTAATGTACACTTAATTGTGGTGCTGTGTTCATTTGGCTTTTTCAAAGCAATATTCTTAAAAATTAATAAAATTGTCATTTATATATATGTCTATATACTATATATATACATATATATATATATATATATATATATATATATATATATATATATATATATATATATATATATATATATATATATATATATATATATATAGGGATTCTTTGTATACTACAGGTATCCATAGTACCGAGAGGTAAAGGATTAGGCTATGCTCAGTATTTACCAAAGGAGCAACATTTGTATTCACAAGAACAGGTGAGTTGCTAAACAGTTGACGACTGACTTAGTTATTTAAAGCATGTGATCAGCTGAAGAGCCTAGGACTGCAGCTACACCTCTTTAATGGACTATATTGTGGGCTGTTTTGTTTGGCCCATGTAGCGTTTGCTTTGTTTTTCTTCTTCTTCGTTCTTAGTTTTTGTGTTGAAAGGGATCCCCTTCAACACAATTAAGTATACATGTCAACTGATTATGCGCCATAGAGACCATTGACTCTGATTTTAGCCTGCTTTTCTTTTCGGATTTGCTTCCATAACCTTTGTCCAACCAAGAGCAAACTACAAGGCAGCAGTTGTTTGATTTTGGAGTTGTCTCTCCTAGAAGAGTGGCTGTCCCCAGCTAACCAGCCTAATCTTCCTGAGGGTTCGAACTCGAGACTTATTGGTTTAGCAACCATGAGCTTCACTGACTCGATCACGCTGACCCCTGAATTGTTTTTAATAGTCCACGATTTTTTTAGGCCTGCCCACTTTATTATTTAAAATATATACTTTATTCATTCAATTAAATTAATATTTTAATGTCACAGGTTACCTACATGTTAATTTTATTTGACTAATTTATCTTTTAGTCTCATCAATAAAATAAAATTTCATTAAAATTTATCTTCTTAGCTTCAAGACCGCATGTGTATGATGCTAGGTGGACGAGCTTCTGAACAAATTTTTTTCAATCAAATTACAACTGGCGCTGAAGATGATTTAAAGAAAGTAACTCAAGTAGCATATGCACAGGTGAGTTCTCTCCTCCTGTGTTATGGGACTTAAAAGCCTTCTAGTCTTGCTAATAATTTTAAATTAATAACTTTGAATTACTTTACTTTGAAAACTAGAGGCAGTATATGCTATTAAAAAAAAGTAATGATCCTCTTTTGGGCTTGAAGGTTAATAAAGCAGGTAAAGTAGAGTTCACCTGGTTCCTTTTACCCAGCCACCTATATTTTCTTTAAATTAACGTGAGGCGGGTATCCATTCGGGCAGAGTGGACTTAAGAATGAACTACTGGCTTGAGCGGAGGATTCAACCCTGTAGTATTTGATCTCTTCAAACTTAAATTTTGTATTTTGATTTAGGTTAGATTAGGTTTGCCTGTAGCCCCTCCTTGGACATAGGACACGGACAAGAACTTTCCAGGCATCTGTGTTCTCTCCAACTGTCCCCAGGTGTATCCAATCTTCTCAGGTGTTTTCTTCCAGGTCAGATCTCCAGGTCTTTCTTGGTCTGTCTCTTTTTCTTTTGCCCTGTGGATTCCAGGTGAGAGCCTGTCTTGTTATGCTGGATCAGTGTTTCTTCCAGACTTTTTTCTCCGGGGGGGGGGCACTTGAAATTTTCGGGGGGGGGGGGGGGGGGGCGGTAGACTTTCTTTGGGGGGGCGGACACTGGTAAAAGTATATATTTTCTCTATAAATTTCATTTCGTTCGGGGGGGGGGGGGCAGTAAAGATGCCTGGAAGAAACTCTGTGCTGGATACAGGCTTCCTGGGTGTGTATCTTAATTTGATGGTTCTGACCTTACAGGTGGTGAAGTTTGGGATGAATGAGAAAATCGGCATCCTGTCGTTCAACATTGACCCAGAGAGGGAGACTCCAGCTAACAAACCATACAGTGAGGCCACAGCACAGATGATTGATGAAGAGGTCAGGCAGATAGTCAACAGTACATATCAGAGGACATTGGAGCTGTTGATAAAACATAAAGATGATGTAGAAAAGGTTAGGTTGCTGTTGTCTTTAAAGAGTTACTGTTTAAAGAGTACTGTTTAAATAGTTAACAATACATATCAGTAGTATCAGAGAACACTGGAGCTGTTGATAAAACATAAAGATGATGTAGAAAAGGTTAGGTTGTTAAATACATATCTAATAGTCAATACATATCAGTATTATCAGAGTACATTGCAGCTATTGATTAAACATAAAGACTATGTGGAAATGGTTAGTTTTCTGTGCTGATGTCTTACTTTAAAGATACTTTGTGTAAATAGCCAACATTGTATATTTAAGGCTCGTTTTCTTTGTTATGTTTTTTAAGTATACTTTGTATGGATCTGTTTTCAGAAGATAATTAAAAATTGAACATTTTGAATGACTATCAACTTTATGTAGTATAGTTTGTCAAGAGAAATTAACTCTGTTGTTTACTACCCTAGGTGGCGCTTGATTTAATGGAGAAAGAAAAACTTGACAAAGATGATTTGATTAGACTTTTAGGCAAGAGGCCTTTTGCTGAGAAGTCAACGTATGAGGAGTTTGTTGCTGGCACAGGTACTGTCACTACAACTACAAGACATTTAGCGTCAAAAATTTTGTTATGAAAACACTGAGACTTGCATGGTTTTAATATGATTTCACACCAAATATTCTCAATGGACACCAGCGAGAAAAGTCTCAAAGGTATTTGAGAGGTGTATAAATTCATTTAAAAATCATGCACAGCGTAGTTACAATTAATATGGTTATAAAATCCTGTCTATCTGGTTTTTTTCGGACTTTACTAAAGATTGGATGTATTAGATGTTTATAATATTTTCGGCAACTAAATAAAAATTAAAAAAAAAGCAAAAACAATTTGGTTTTCACGTGTAATGGCGACATAAACAATGGCATCCTGCTATTGGATAGGCCGCCATTGATTTTATTGTACACATTGTAAGCTAAAAATAGAAAACTAGGTCATGGGGTTTTAAATTTGCATTGTTATTTAAAAACTTGATCTGCAAAGTTTTGTAAACAAATAGTTATCGATCACTAAGTTACTGTACAGCCAATCAATATTTGTCTTACGAAAGTGAAACATCCGGTTATAACTTAGGCTTGATGAAAATAAATAGAAATGTAGCCTTAAACTCAACAAATTATTTTCAAGTTCTCTGGATTTGCAACTTTTATAGCATTTATTCTAAAAATATAAAATTTCTAAATTAATTTTAGGCTTAAGTTTTTATTTATTATTTTTTTTTACGGTCTAAATCTAAAAAGCACGTTTTTATTCCATGTCAACAACATTGGGGACGGAATCTCGTCAACTCGCTCGCCTCCATTTTGGTTCTGGGAGCATATGTCAGTATAATGTCAGCTCTGATGGGTTACTGATTAGTGCTTAGAAACAGGAAAGATTAGTATCTTGAAACCAGAGGCGTAGCGGGGGGGGGGGGGTGCGGACCCCATTTATGGGGGTGACACCAAGGCAAAAAATAGTAAAATATATGGAGAAAAATTTGAGGGGGGGGGGGGGTGCAAATCGAAAGTTCGAGCAGGGGGGTCCAAATCGAAAATTGAAAGTTTGTCCCTGGGAAGAGTCGCTACGCCTCTGAGGGGGTGACACCATTAAGTGCCGCACCGGGTGACACCCGACCTCGCTACGCCACTGCTTGAAGCATTTGGTTTTTGAAAATTATTTGGCAGCTGATAGGCAAAAGGACGGCGTGGTCAGATGGTAGAGCACACACTGCTAACCTGAAAGGCTTGAGATCTAACCCCAGGCTTGAGTCTGTCCCTGTTTCCATCCAGCTATGATGGGTACCTAATTCATGTTAGGAAAAGTAAAGGCAACTGGGTTGGCTGTGGTCGAGTCAGTAAAGCTCATGATTACTTAACCAAAAAGTCTCGAGTTTGAACCCTCAGGCAGATGAGGTTCGACAGCTAGGGACAGCAACTCTTCTAGGAGAGACTACTCAAAAATCAAAACAATGCTGCCCTGTGTAAAAATAATATAGAAGCAAATTTAAAAATAAAAGCAGGCTGAAATCAGAATCAATGGCCTATATGGTGCAAAACAAGTTGACACGTATACTTTTTTTGGAGGGAATCTCTTCCAACACTAAAAAATTAAGAACACAGAAGAAGGACGCCAAGCTTGAGTTCATCCAACTCATGTTAGGGAAAGTAAAGGCAACTGGGCACACTATCCCTTCATATGCTTAGGTCACAGACACAGGTGAACTCTACTTCATCTGCCTCATGGCCTTCCAGGTTTCAAAAGTACAACAATTTTCTTTTTGATGGATGAACAGCCCTGGCCAACCGATTGAGGGAAAAATATTTCTTATATTATCAGCTAGCTAATGAAAAAAAAAATGTCTTATATCAGCTGGCTAATGAAAAAAAAATGTCTTATATCAGCTGGTTAATGAAAAAAAAATTCTTATATTATCAGCTGGCTAATGAAAAAAAAAGGTCTTATATTATCAGCTAGCTAATGAAAAAAAAATGTCTTATATTATCAGCTAGCTAATGGAAAAAAAATGTCTTATATTATCAGCTAGCTAATGAAAAAAAAAATGTCTTATATCAGCTGGCTAATGAAAAAAAAATGTCTAATATATTATCAGCTAGCTAATGAAAACAAAATGTCTTATATCAGCTGGCTAATGAAAAAAAAATGTCTTATATTATCAGCTAGCTAATGAAAAAAAATGTCTTATATCGGCTGGCTAATGAAAAAAAAATTCTTTTATTATCAGCTGGCTAATGAAAAACTAATTTAAAAAAATACTGTAATGACAACTCATTGAACAGTAGTGGATGAATATAATTTATGTATCATTTGATTCATGTAAAAAATTATGTTTCTTTCATGAGCAGGGTCCTTTGAGGAAGATACAACAATGCCAAAGAGTCTAGGAAGTTGGGCTAAGGAGGAGAAGAAAGATTAAGATTACAGAAGCCTGTTAGGATCTAGTTTTTTTTTTTCAGAACCTGCAACACTGAGTGGGTGAGGGTGGCAGACTAGGGGAGGGGAGGGGGCGCTAAAATGTTATGTTTGTATGAGCAAATAATTATTTCATAAAATGTAGTTGTAAATATTTCATTGTGTAAAAGATATCAACCTTTTTCAACCCGTCACATTGCCTCACCCCAGTCTATGCATTGATTTTGTCTAGAACTTGTTAATCATTAAATCCTATACTATATATAAGTGGAGACAGGCTAAGATAAAAAAATAGACTACCTTCAGAAAATACTTCGACAGCTATTGGCTGCTAGAGTTTGTTACTGCTTAGTAATTATTTATTCTTAATAATTTAATATTTATCAGTGATATTTGTTCACATTTTACTTTTTGAGAAAAATTTAATAAAGTGATTTTAAAAACTAATTTTAAATGCACTTTGTCCATTTTATGTGATATAAATTTTATAAATATTAAACGCAATTTAGATTTGTTTCTACCGTAGCACTTCTAGTGGATCTCCAATAATTAAAGCCTTTAAAATTTTAGTCTAACAAGGTATTAAAATAGTTGATATAAAAAAAAACCAATGTATAGTTTAATAGAGACAATAGCTAAGGGGGATCAACAAAGATGCTAATGAATAAAGGCAGATATTAAGTGGAGTGAATTGTAGGTCTACAATCGCAGTATAAATTAGCATCATTACATTTCAAGGTTGGGCTTAATGAAATATGTTTGTATTGGAAAGAATATACATTGTACTGTTTTTTAAAAATCAAGACTACTCTAACTTGTTATGTATTTACAATTCCTAAACACTTTATAAACACAGTCATAGTCCCTGCTCCTAGTTATGTATGTGTATATTTATATACATACAGTAATCAGGAAACTGTTAAATCCTTCCTTCATTCCAATCCCTGAATTTAAAAAAAAAGTTTAACAGAAGTAAGTGAAAACAAACACTGAAAAATTTCTCCAAAAGAATTTCTTTTACAAATCACTTGAAAGACATGTATCAAATGACAAGACAGCTATAGTAAACAATGCAATTGTATGCCATGTTATCATAACATAAATCTAATGTAGTTGACATACAAAAAGTCTAAAATAAACCTTATACATTATAACTAACTCAAGCATCCACATCAATCTTACAATATTAATATGGCCTATAATTTTAGTTAAACAATCATAAGATTGTTACTTTAACATAAACAGTTGGCTATGCCGTCAAGGATTAAAATAATGTAGCCATTGTGTGAGTCATGCTAATAATATGTGAAAAAAAAATTAACACTTGTGTGAATAGAGCTCCTGATAATATCTTAACAAAACAAAAACATTACACATGTGTAGATAGAGCTCTTCAAAATATTTCAACAAAAAAAAAAAACTACAGTTATGTATGAATAGAGATTATGATATTACAACAAAAACAATATTTGTGTGGATAGGGTATATCTAAAAAAAAACATTGTGTGAACAGAGCTAACTATATTAAAAAAAACTCAACACACAATACAGTTGTGTGGATTCAGCTCATCATGATGAACCCCTTCTCTGCACTTGACAAGTATCTTATACTTTTATTTATAACCTGAAACTCCATTAACTTATGATGTCTATGTCCCATCACAAGTATAACACTATCATATGGTATTGTCAGGCCACTTTGCGCATTGGATTACCAAATCTCCCATATATTATTACCACTATAATTAACTCAATATTTATTTTGCAATAGATAAATCACATATGGTAAAGAAGTTTGGCATTGAATTCACTAAAAACTTTGGATCTAATTCTAATGCTTATTTGTTGATAAAATAATTGAATTAATTAGTTAATGAAACAGTAGGCAGAAGAGGGAAATAGAAATAGAAAATATGCAAAAAGTTGTGTGTTAATTTGTGGGGTCAATCTATGATGACAGCTTTTATCAGACACACTGTGACAGTTGTATGGACAGAGCTCATGATAATCTAGCACTAAAGTACCCTAGTTGTGTGAAGGAGCTGAAATGACTCACCAATGTATTATCACTAAAGGTAAGTTTGTATACCAAAAATAATATGTATAAATCTTTGACAAACACAACATCTAATCTGTTTTTAAAAAAATTAATTACACAACATTTCCTCTTTACTTTTTTTTAAAAATTGTTTACTGAAATGGTCCAACACATTCATCAGAAAGACTATTTTTCATCAAGTATGGCTATGTCAAAAATCTAGGATTATTTAATGCTATACATATACATTAATTATTAAATGTTTAGTTAGGAAATATTTCAATTTAATACATACTAGGGTGTTGATTAAACTAAGAAAATAGTTGACAAAAAAAATGGATGAATTTTTTTTCTAGAAATACATTTTTTGATGTATTGAAATTTTCTAAAGTTAAAGATCCTCCTTCCTTTCACTAGAGACATGATAGAACAAAAGTTGTGTAACTAATTTTAAAGAAATAATATTCCAGCTTTGATTCTGAACTCAAAATTTCTATATTAAACACAAATAGTATACACATTTTCCAGCATAAATAAGGCAAACACAAAAAACTCCCATTTACACACACTAAGATTCTAAAGGATCAGCTACTTTTTTTTCCTTTTCTTTATTCCAGTTTTCTAGGCCCTTTGGCAATGTGGTGTCTTCCTCAAATGAACCTGCCAATGGAAAATAAAATTAAACTATCCTGTATTATAAATCAGTTTAATAATTTATTTTTTCACCTTCCAACTTTAGATGTATCAATATTACCATTTTCTTTCATCAGCGATTTTTTCTTTAACCCAGCTGTTGATATAGTCATTTACTCAACAGTGACATGATAAATCACACATCAGCCACATGATAAATTACCCATCAGCCACCTGATAAATTACCCATCAGCCACATGATAAATTACCCACTAGCCACCAACTAAATTACTCATCATTCACCTGATAAATTACCCACTAGCCACCTGATAAATTACCCATCAGCCACATGATAAATTACCCACTAGCCACCTGCTAAATTACCCATCATTCACCTGATAAATTACCCACTAGCCACCTGATAAATTACTCATCATTCACCTGATAAATTACCCACTAGTAACCTGCTAAATTACTCATCATTCACCTGATAAATTACCCACTAGCCACCTGCTAAATTACTCATCATTCACCTGATAAATTACCCACTAGCCACCTGCTAAATTACTCATCATTCACCTGATAAATTACCCACTAGCCACCTGATCAATTACACATCATCCACCTTATAATTTTTAGAAATAAAATGTTTTAAGCCTGTAAAATAAGGACCTGCAGACAAAAAGGAAATTTCCATTCCAGACATGACAGCCCACAGGGCAGATCATATTGAGTTTCTGTTTCTTAGACTTCAGCATTTTATGTTACCAGCATTAACTCCAGTCAACTTTACTTTCCCTGACTCAAATCTGGGACAGACTCATAGGAACCTGAGTTCCCAAAGCCAAACTTGAGATTTTTAGGTGATAAATCAACAGCTATACATTGCAACCACACAGAATAAAAAATATTTCACAGCTAAATCACTTGTAACTACAGTACCTGTGCCAGCAACAAACTCCTCATACGTTGACTTCTCAGCAAAAGGCCTCTTGCCTAAAAGTTCAACCATATCTTCTTTGTCAAGTTTTTCTTTCTCCAATAAACGAAGAGCAACCTAGGGTAGAAGACAACAGAGTAAATTGCTCTTGATACACTAAAGTACATAAGCCTGATTGTATACTTTTTTAACATGTCAAAATTTTAACTGATCTGCTAGACACAAATCATCTTCTTTTCCTGTTTGTACCCAAGACACATGGGGCAATGACCTTGCCATTCAGTGAGTAATGTGATCAGCACTATGCCCAGCCACCTTTGTTACCTTAAGTGAGTTAGGTACCCATCAGAGCTGGGTGGACTCATGGATGTTCTCTTGATTTGAACTCATATTCTAACTCATGTTTTTCGGGTTAGCAGTCTACAGCTAGGCCACACTGTCCCACACTGGACACATATAATTATGTACACTTCATTATTTTAAGACCTCGTCACAGAAAACTGACCTTTTCCACATCGTCTTTATGTTTTTTCAATAGCTCCAATGTCCTCTGATAGGCATTGTTGACTATCTGCCTGACCTCTTCATCAATGAGCTGTGCTGTGGCCTCACTGTATGGTTTGGTAAAGGACATCTCCCCTTGTTGGTTCATGTCGAAGGACAAGTTGCCAACTTTCTCATTCATCCCAAACATAACCACCTGGTCATTGGAGTATCATTAAATCAAACAATATGCAAGCAGGGTTTCTTACAGATAAATTTCTTCAGGTGGGGGGAGAGAATAGTGAAAGCATACATTTCTTAAATTTAATATTTTTAAAACTTTGACTGAAGGCAGGGAGGTGATGTGCTTTCAGTTACCCCCCCCCCCTTTCTTAGAGAGATTCCCAAAAAACACTGTATTCAAGAACTATAAAAATATTCTAATATTAACCAGAATAAAATCTTGTAAGATGGCTGACCTGTGAGTATGCTGTCTGTGTTACTTTCCTCAAATCATCTTGAGCTCCTGTTGTCACTTTATTGAAAAAAACCTGTTCGGAAACCCTACCACCTAGCATCATACACATGCGGTCTAGAAGCTAAGAAAATAAAATGAAATTTGTAATTTAATATTCTAAAATAATTAATTAATGTCAATATAATATAATAAATTGATCAGTCGTATAATGTTTATTAAATATCTTGTAAAGAAATGGTTCAATAAAATATGCACTTGATTTAAGTAGATTTAATTAAATGTTTTGCAACTAACCTGTTCTTCCGTGTATAAATATTGTTCTTTTGGTAAGTACTGAGCATACCCTAAACCTTTACCTCTTGGAATTATGGAAACCTGAAGTATAAAAATTACAACTTTTAATTACAATAACCTTTAAACATTACAGTACTTTCAGATAAGATACACGGAGAAGCAGGAATCTAACATTCAGCTAAAGACAATACAATAATAGGAACAGCCAAAATACAAAAATAATTTCATGATGTTGGTATCCATTGGATACCTTTACTAATATTTAGGAAGAGACCTACGATACGCTTCTCTTTATAGTCATTTAAATAGTAGTGTATTATTATATATTTAAAGAAAATCATTTATTTTCTACTTTTTAGTGCATTATTACATAAAAGCTTGTTATTAAAATGTATTTTTATGAAATTTTTCAGTACTTTAAATTTTTAAAATTTAAAACAGAGTTGCCTGACTAAAAACCATTGCACACCTTATGAACATGATAACGCATGTATAATTGTGAGGAATAGTTGGATAAGCCAGCCTACTAATTTGGACACAATTTTAATTATTTAATAAAAAATTAATTAGGCATCCAATTAAGTCAGATGCTATGTCAGATTGCATTGTCTTCACGTCTTAACCCACGTGCCAACTTTGAAACGAATCTATCAGTTAGAAGTGCCCGAAATTTTTGTTAAAGCGTTTTGATCTATGACGACAGACTGACCACAGAATGGACGATGATGAGTTAAATAAAAGCTTGTAAAAAAAGGGACATCTGTATCCTACATCCACCCAAGGTATAATACAGAGTATCCTGAGTCTTACTTTCAGCAAAGATACAGTACAAAGCAACCAGAATCTTACTTTCAGCAAAGATACAGTACAAAGCAACCAGAATCTTACTTTCAGCAAAGATACAGTATAAAGCAACCAGAATCTTACTTTCAGCAAAGATACAGTACAAAGCAACCAGAATCTTACTTTCAGCAAAGATACAGTACAAAGCAACCAGAATCTTACTTTTAGCAAAGATACAGTATAAAGCAACCAGAATCTTACTTTCAGCAAATATACAGTACAAAGCAACCAGAATCTTACTTTCAGCAAAGATACAGTACAAAGCAACCAGAATCTTACTTTCAGCAAAGATACAGTACAAAGCAACCAGAATCTTACTTTCAGCAAAGATACAGTACAAAGCAACCAGAATCTTACTTTCAGCAAAGATACAGTACAAAGCAACCAGAATCTTACTTTCAGCAAAGGATCAGCATGTTCCAGAAACCAGCCAGTTACTGCATGTCCAGCCTCATGGTAGGCAACAGTTTTCTTCTCATCTGGCTGTAACACCTGAGTTTTCTTCTCTAAACCTGATGGTGGAATGGTGGAAACAGATACAGCTTATTTTCTCACATCAACAACAAGTACTCTACACATGGTAAAAAGATAACCAATGTTTCAAATAGTCTACATGAAAATGTAGAGAAAATTATATTAAAATCAGATGCATTTCCCAATCTAAAAAAAAAAAGGTACAGAAAATTATAGTACAGTCAGGTGTGTTCTCATACCTGCAACAACTCTCTCAATAGCTTGCTCGAAATGTTGAATTAGAATAGAAGTGTTCAGATCTCTGGCAGCTATAAGGGCTGCTTCGTTACACACGTTAGCAATATCTGCACCTGCAATCACAAGTATTTGATGGAGAGGGTTAATGTCCTTGTTTTAAAAATATTTCAGATTATTTTTGTATTTCTGATTTCAATTTTTTAAAAATTGACACACCTTTGTTGGTGTTTTCTGAAAAAAGGCACTGTGTATAGAGATTTATTTTTACTATTTTTATTCAGCCTTAACTGTTAATGTGTCGATGTTGAATCCTTTGCTCAGCAGACCAAAACAGATGGCACATTAAATATTTGTAATTTTTATCTCAAACAGTTGTAAACACATGTTAACGCATGATCACCTGAGAAGCCAGGGGTTAAAGCTGCCATTTTTCTAGCTAGATCAGGAATAGGGACTTCAGTTTTAAGGTTGCTTAGATGGACTTTAAAAATAGATGCTCTGTAGATGAAAATAGTAAATCCCATTAATAAATGTCATAAAAAGCAGAAGCATTGCTAAAATTAAAATAAGTAGTAGATTTTCAATTACTAAATTATGTAACTGTGATGACGCAAGGTTGCGTCGGAGAGGTCAGGTAGATAGCAGAAACAGGCTACAGCGAGTTGGTCAGAAAGAGACCAATAAAAATACGGGAACTGACCAGTCACGTGGGACGGTCAGCTGACCACTGAGGCGTGGGGCAGTACAGAAATAGGCCGGAGTTGATAGGTAGCTAGTGAAGAGTAGAGAAGGTGTTAGGAAGCAGTCAGAGACGGTCGAGATGTGTAGGGCTAGGTAACAGTTGATAATTAGTGAAAAGAACGGTCAGATAGGTAGATCTAGGAAACGGCAGACAGTAGTAGTAGTGGAGAGTAGAGAATAAGTTAGGGAGAACTTGATTTTAGAATTTCAATAAAGAACATTTTATATTTGAACTTGAACTTGTGTTATTGGATTCGTTCCACCTCTTAAAAATCCCTACCCTCACAGTAACTAAAGTCTATTTGCAAGTGGTTGTTACTCCTGACTTACCTCCCTTTAATGTCAGGTAAAGGCACATAGATCTGTCTGTCAAACCTGCCTGGACGTAGTAAAGCCTGATCTAGAATGTCAACCCTATTTGTTGCTGCTAAGACTACTACACCGGTCTGTGTGTTGAAGCCTATAATAATTTGAAAAGCAATCAGTAAGACATGTAAGTTTATTAGCCAACTGGGCTGTCTCTAAAGTTGGAGATTTGTTCCCCTACAGCATCTAAATAAAACAGAATGTTAAAGCCTCCCATTAAAATGAAGTCTCAACTTTCCAGACATGTTCTCCCTATTTAAACATATTTCAAGTATACTGAGTAAACATACATCTTCACTTGTATTTTTACTTTAATGTTCAAAGTATGTCGGAAACCTGACTGGTGTGACATCATACACAGAAATCCCTATTTAAAACTATTATACTAGGAACATTTCTATGATACAAAGAAACATGATACTCAAAATAAGACACAAGACTTCCACCTACCATCCATCTCAACTAGCAGCTGATTTAAGGTATTTTCTTGCTCACTGTTGCCGCCCCAGTTGCGCCCACTCCTCTTCCTACCAACAGCATCAATCTCATCAATGAACAAAATACATGGAGCCTTTTTGCGAGCAAGTGCAAACATATCTCGTACCTATCAAAAATAATAAATAAAATAAAAATAGGGATAATATCCTCATTGATTAACTTTTTCCCAGCAGCTTAGTAAAAGATTTTTTTTATTTAGCGTAAAAATAAAACTAAGTTGCATTGGTTAAAATAAACGATGGATTTTATTAGCAAATAATAAAATAATTTTTAAGTAACCAATTACAGGTCACACTTACCCTAGAGGGCCCAACACCAACAAACATTTCCAAGAATTCAGAACCTGATACTGTAATAAAAGGAACATTGGCCTCCCCGGCTGTAGCTTTTGCCAGGAGAGTTTTACCTGTACCTGGTGGTCCAGTTAACATTGCACCTGGTGGAAACAATTGATGAGTGGTTTTTTACTGGAGGGAATTTTTATTTTATATTAAAGTAGGGGACTTTGATTTCAAAGCCAAGTTCAAGTCAGTAGACTCGCAAAGTCCACCCTAACGTTAGGAAAAGTTAAGGCGGCTGGGCTGACCACACTATCCCTTCATATGCTGAAGTCACAGAAACAGGTGACCTCTACTTCACTTGCCCTATGGACCATCAGGTTTGAAAAGGAAACTTTACTTATTTCTCATTAGAGCTCTGATCATATGTGGCACTTTGATTTATTACCAAACTTGACACTAATATTTATATTTCTTATGCACTAACCTTTAGGAATTTTGGCCCCAAGATCTAAATACTGCTGTGGGTTTTTCAAAAAATTAACAAACTCCATAATTTCAAGCTTAGCTTCCTCACAACCAGCTACATCACTGAAAGAAAAAAAAAATGTGAGAAAATGAAAAATTTGAATTCAATGGATACAAAACAAAACTGACCAGAAATCAAAATTCCTTTTATTTACCTGAATTTAACACCAATATCTTTCTCTAAAACTTTAGCAGTTGTTTGTGAAAATCCAAACATGCCCCCTGATGATCCACTTCTGCCTCCTCCTGCTTTTCCCAAAGGCTGAAATGTAAACAGGCTTTATTGAAAGTTGGTTACATCATTTTTAGCAAGACATACAATACCCACACCCTTTACCTTGGCTTTGGTTAGTTAACAACAAAAAGGTCAGTAGACCAACAATGAGTTATTCAGCTATTCACAATAGCTATCATAAGATTTTATCTTTGTTTTTCGATACAATTCAATTTTATAGCTACCTTTAACTCTGACAACAAAACTGTTATACTACTAATAGTCAAGGAAATAAAACAGCATGTAGAAGTCAACACTTACCCCTCTTCGAAAAAACCAAATCATTACGGCGATCGGTAAAACCCAACTCATAGCATTTAACAAAATGTTACTCCTGAAAGATTAAAATGTTTTTTCTAAAAATTGCAACAAAATTACAGAACTTGTTATGAATACAGGAAATGGGTAACTTATTTAAAATTTGACTGATAGAAACAAAAAGCATACCAATCTCTTTCTTTCTTATAAACAACTGTGATAAAATTAGAAGGCTCTAAATTCATATCCATCTGGGCTTTCTCTAAGTTTCGTTCAAATGTTTCTACACTGCCAATGGTGAACCATATTGTGTGCTGGAAAAATAAAAACACACAGACCCATCTTAAAAATGAGTGCCTAACTTGAAGTAAGAATATATTACTACTGTGGAAAAGTGTGCTGGAAAAATAAAATACAAAAAACACCTACCTTTTAGGTAACGATATAATTCTAATGTGGGAAAAAGTTATTTTCTAATATGTTTCAGGAAGTAAAATTATATTTTTAAAACAACTTACTGATGAATCAATTTGAGTACCAGGCATAAACTTGACACGAACCCATTTATTGTTCACAACTTCTACTTGCTCAACCTATGTTTTTAATTTTAAAAAGTTATTAATTAAGGGAAAAAAATGAAAACTTTATGTATAACTCAGTGCACATAGAGGCATAAAGTTTGGCTATAAACTGACAGATAAAGTTAAAGAATTAAAACAATTTTTGTTGGGCTTAAAACAGACTATTTTCTTGGTTTTCAATTTATACATAAAAAATTAGTTTTAACAAAGATATAAAAAATAAAAAAATAAACTCTCACCATTCCACTAGAAAGATAATTTTGGAAGAATTCTTTCATAGTTATTTCTTTATATTGATTGGAGAAAATGGAGTAGAGCACCAGAGCTCCTCCAATGGTACCAAATATAAGCATTTGTTTATCATCAGGCAGGCCAGGCTTTTTACCCTTGCTGCCTCCTCCACCAGAACTGCATAAAGAAATAAAATCTTCAACTAAAAAAGGATTATTATTTTATTTATTCTTTTAAATTATAAAATTAAACTGGTAAATTAATTTTTTTTTAAACTAAAAAAGTATATTTAAACTGATAACATTCATTAGCTTTGAAGTTTTCCAAATTAAATGCAATATTTTTAAAAAATATGTATAACAATAAAAAAACAGCCAAAAAGCTTTGATATAGTATCTTATACTTTGTATGTGTGATTTTTTTTATGCCTTTACTTACCTATTGTACTCATAATCTCCAATTTTAAATTTAATTTTCCACCCTGATTCTTCCTGTGGTGGAGTCTTTGCTTGCTTAGCATCTGTCAATTATTAAAAAAAAACTGAAGTCTTTTCTATGTTATGTACATTTGCATGCAGATGTTGTACATTACTTAAAAGTTAATATAAGTACTTAATGCAAACACAATATTTAACAATATTTTAACAAGAAAAAATACTGACCTTTTGGTTGTTGGGTGGGATCTGATTTTGGTGGTTTTTCAGAAAAGTGTCTTGCTTGAATATCAAGTGCAGATAATTGTCTAAGTAAACTGCCAGCTGTGGTGTGACTTGTTATCAAAGAAGGTTTATGGGATCCCTGTCTCAGCTGTTTACATAGATACACAACAAAGGTAAGCACCAGACCAATGAAAGATTAGCATAGTAATATAATATAAAAACTGATTGATACAATTACAATAAAATAATGATAGCTGTTTTTTATGAGGTTGTTTAATGTTTGTTACAGTTGACACACTATTATAAATCTTAAATTGAATAAATTCTAATAGTTGGATAAGTCAATTTTTAAAATAATGTAACCAATTATAGATACTATATCTAAAGAAAGGCTATCATTAACCAGGTAGAAAGTAATCTTTTCCAGGTTTTTCAAAAACATGGTTTGCGGCCTGTACATGTTTAAGTTTACTATTTTTTTGTGTTTGTATATTTTATATAGGCCTTTATTGTTTATGTACAAAATGCTATGTCATGTCTGCTTGAGGTCTGGCTTGGAAGTTTGTTCTGCTAACTTCTAAGGCAATCTAAGGATTCAGCCTGGCTGGAAGTTTTGTTCAGTGCTATGCTTTAAAGCTAAACTACTATAAAAATAAAGGCTGTTTTGTCAATGATCTTTTGTTTTGGGTTGGGAAGGTGGGGGGGGGGGTGTAATCATAATGTCATCTGAGAGCCTGAGGAGTTCAGACTAAACTAAAAAATATAGAGTGACTCAACAGTATTATTTTTTGTTAGGCCTGCTCTAGATTCTGAGAACAGAGGTAAAATGTATCTAAATAAATAAATAAATAATAAAAAGGCTAACAAATTATAGATCTAGGCCTAACTAAATCACAGTAAATATTGTAAATAAATATGAGTAAATGATGCAATTTGTATTTTGTATTGAAGCGATATAATTTTTTATTTTTAACACAAAAGAACGCTAGTCACTGACTTTGTTGTTGCAAATTAAATTACTAGAAATAGCCTAAATATTAATGAAATCAACATACCAGTTTACATAAAAAATTTCTTGTTAGAGGTCGCAATAAAATATCTGCTTGATTTGCTTTTCCTATAATTCGATACGCCATTTTAGAAATAAAAAAATGATAAGACAAAATGTGTTTGTCCTTAAGTATTTTGTTATATCATACCCGTTACTTCAAACTTTTATATATACGGTACAGCTAGTTGTCAAAAACAAATTGAGCTAGCCGAAACGCACGAACAATATTTATAATAGCCACATATGCTTTCTGTCCATGTATGCGCTTGGCCTACACCAGGACCGCTATAAATAATGCAAAACACCATAATACGCAGTTTAAAGAGTTTCTTCCAGGCATCTCTTATAAACCAACAAATGGAATGTGTATAGAGAACAAATACTTTTAGCTGTGTCCGCCCCCCCCCCCCCCGGAAATTTTAGTCCTCCCCCCCCCCGAAAATTTTCATATATATGCTTGTTATTGAAAAGGCTACATTTTTATCAAAGTTTTCGCTTTTATTGTAAAGGAAATCGCACTGTATCGTTAAAAATACATGTTTGTGTATGTGTGCATTAGTGTGAAAATATTATAGCTACTTTACTTAAATTGTTTAATTAATTTATTTCAATATTTAAACATCTAATTATTGCGAAGTCCACGTCAAAGTATTTACTTAGCTACTTGTCAAGATTGAAACAAATTGTTTCTGTAGAAGCGGATGAAATTCCGTTAACAAGTTTCGGCCCATAACGGACGAAGTATTATTAGGAACCTTTAGACATGTAAATTTATTTTCATTTAATGTAGGCCTACCTATTTCACATACGACTGGTTAGGTTATAACGTTTTAATCCTTGACGTACATTTTCAGACTACTGTTAAATTTCCGGAAAGCGTTTCCCTACAAGTTGATATCTCCTAGCCGAAATCATTTAATTAAAAGCACCGAATATAAAATCACTACTAAAATTTACAAATTTAAGTATGTGATTCGGCTATTATCAGTGCTAAAAATAAAGTAACGCGGAATTTAGTAAGATGTGAATTCTTCACTAGGTAGGATGACACCCAGTATGGTAGGCCAAACTATGTAATAAAACTATTGTTCAGTTGATGTTTCGCCCCCTTCCCATTTACAAACAATATTTATGCTTACATATTTTATAGTTTAATGAATAATTTAGTTAGTTAGAAAAAGCAGATTTCTCTTTAAAGTAGTCAATTTTTCGTTGTGGTGTCATCAATTTTGGTGTTGTTATCCTAAGTTTTCGATGTGCACCCCCCTCAAACTTTCGATTTGCACCCCCCCCCCTCTGGTGTTGTTACCCTAAGTTTTCGATGTGCACCCCCCTCAAACTTTCGATTTGCACCCCCCCCCCCCTCAAGTTTATCTCTATATATTTTGCTATTTTTGCTTTTGTGTCACCCCCTAAATGGTGTCACCCGGTGCGGTCCGCACCCCCCCCTCGCTACGCCCCTGCGCTATTGTGAGAGCTATAATACTTTATGAGTTATTCTATGATTTGAGCAAATTTGACGTGGACGTGCTGTATGGGGAGGTAGGGGCAGTGCTTACCCCGGAGCAGTGGCGTCGCTAGGTAAGGTGTCAACCGGTGCGGCACTTCATGGTGTCACACCCCACCCCCACGCTACACACGCCAAAGGAAAAAAAAGTATGTCGAGATGGTCAATGTGTACTTATAATACTTTTTAACTAATTATCCATTAACTGAACAGGCAAAAAGCATTTTTCCTCTATATATTTTTCATCTTGGTGTCACCCTCCTAAATGGTGTCGCCCGGTGCGATCCGCACCCCTGACCCCGCCTCGCGACACCTCTGCCGGGAGAGGTACCTGAAATAAACTCAGCATTGAGGTGAAATAATCTAATGAAACGATTGCTGTCAATTTGAAGTAAAACTGGCATCTTGAAAATAAAAACAAAGTATGTTTGCCATCAGAGTAAACCATTTATAATTTAGTTTATAATGCGGTAAAAACTTATTTCAAAACTTAAATGCAAGTGTTCAGTTTATTTGTGTTTGAGTTTGATGTTGATTGTATGCATATTCATTATTCTTGAATGATTTTGAGTTTTCTTCTTAGAATCTAGATCTAGATCTAGATATTTTTGGTATTCGGTGTTTAGACCGATCATTACAGCACTTACGACCAAGTTGCGACTGTGTTATGATTATCACTGCATGATTTTAATGGATACGTTTATGATTTTAATCTAATTAAAAACAAAGCATAACAATGTCTCTAGCTGATGAGCTTTTAGCCGATTTAGAAGAGGGAGGTGAAGAATTAGAAACTATCGACGAAGATGATGAGGAATCAATTAACGACGTTGTTGATGATATCGGCATGTACAGCGATCGCCAAGTCGCTGGTTCCAATGTTCGTAGTGTTGCAAAACTGAAAGATAGTAAAGAACTAGCAAAAATTCTTCAAGACATAGAAGAGTACTCAGCCAAGCCAAAAAGAAGTGCAATAGCTGGACCAGTAGAGGTTGACCCTGAATACAAGCTGATTGTTGATGCCAATAACATGACAGTTGAAATTGACAATGAGATCAATGTTATTCACCAGTTTGCGAAAGATATTTATTCCAAACGATTTCCAGAATTAGAATCATTAGTACCAATGCCTCTTGAATATATCTGTACAGTGAAAGAACTTGGAAACAACATTCTTGAACGATCAAAGAATAATGAAATTCTTCAAGATATTTTAACTCCAGCCACAATAATGGTGGTAAGTGTTACCGCATCCACAACACAAGGAACCGAGTTATCAGAGAAGGATTTAGCATCTGTAATGGAAAGCTGTGACATGGCTATTGAATTAAACAAAAGTAAAACAAAAATATTTGAATATGTTGAGTCAAGAATGACATTTATTGCCCCTAATTTGTCTATAATTGTGGGCGCATCAATAGCTGCTAAACTGATGGGAACAGCTGGTGGGCTTACTAATCTTTCCAAGATGCCAGCCTGTAATGTCATGCTGTTAGGGAGTCAGAAAAAGACACTTGCTGGTTTCTCTAGCACAAACATTCTACCACACACTGGTTTCATCTATTACAGTGACCTTGTTCAGAAAATGCCACCAGAAATGAGAAGAAAATCCGCTAGGGCGATTGCGGCTAAATGTACATTAGCTGCAAGAGTGGACAGTTTTCATGAAAGCGTTGACGGAGCAGCAGGTGACAGATTTAGAGCTGAACTTGATACTAAAATGGACAAGATGACAGAGCCTCCTCCTGTCAAATTTTCAAAACCTCTTCCTGCTCCCATTGAACAGTCTAAGAAAAAGCGTGGTGGTAGACGAGCAAGAAAAATGAAGGTTTGTTATATGTTGTAGATGCAATAGGTTCATAAGTTCTGTATCATAAATTTGTTAAACACATGACGTTTTTCACAACATGTATCTAATTTTATCTAAAAAAATTTCCTGTTATCTTCTCCTCATTCAGTTTATATTAATAATCATTAGTCATTATTTAGTGTGTCTGATCTTTAACATTAATTGATATCAACTTAATTATTGTAATTTTGTTTTCAGGAGAGATTAGGTCTGACAGAGTTGAGAAAGCAAGCCAACAGAATGAACTTTGGTCAGATAGAGGATGATGCCTATCAGGATGACCTTGGTTTCTCAATGGGAACAATGGGGAAATCAAACTCTGGTAAAATCAGAGGAGCACCTGTGGATGCAAAGACAAAAGCTAGAATCTCCAAGACATTACAGCAGAAATTGAGCAAGCAAAATCAAACATGGGGTGGAAGTACTACAGTTAAAAAGACGGTACAGTATTTTTTAAAAGGACATTTTCTAACACCCTCGTTTACTACTGTGGTTCTTGCATTTTTTACTCTTTTTAATTAAGGTGGGGTGTTTTTTTTTCTTCTTAACAATGTGAATGATCATGAAATAATCTTTTTTTAGGGCTTATTTAAAACATCCATATAGCTAAGTTAAAGTTAAGATTCTCATAATTTTGTTTTTAGTCAGACTTTATACATGTAGATGTGTTGGAGTTAATTAGATTGGTTTGGATTCCCCACAGACCTATGGGATGCATTTCAGCTTGTGGAAATATATATTTAGTTTTCCTAGTAGCAGCAACAACAATTCAATTCTTAGGTAAATCTTTTTTTTTTCTACAGGTGGAAGGTACAGCATCCAGTGTTGCATTCACACCCTTGAAGAACTTGGAGATTTTCAACCCACATGCAGCCGAGACCAAAGTTCAACAGACAACACAAAAATACTTTTCAACCACTGGCTCCTTCTTAAAAGTTAAGAAAGAAGCAGGCAAAATGGGACCACCACCTCCACCAGGATCTTCGGGGTCTAAGTGATCACAGGAAAGATTCTTGTCTGGATTGATACTAAGTGGTTAACTGGTGTTTGATTCACAAGGCAGAACCCTAAAAACTTAGCTCGTAAAGTAAATTTTAAAAATTTAAGAGCCATTTTTCACTTCTGGATCTTTTGAAAAATAACCATATACATGTGGAGAATGTGTAGGAAAGCCTTAATGTGAATTTGGTAATATTAATTCATACATCTGTAGTTAAAGATCTAAAATACTCTTTTAAAAATAATGCCCCCTTCTCATAGATGATTGGTGTTTTTTTCATTTGCCATAATCCTTGGGATTAAAATTTAAATATAGAGACACACTGCATCAAAATCTCCAATTTGTCCATTTTTATACGGATTTTACTATTGAAAATCAACATTGAGAGTTAGTGCTTTTTCTAACAGTGGTGAAATAAGGTTACAAATGTTTGAATACTTCAGGTGAAATAATTTTTTTCACCACTATGGTTTGTTGTTGTTAATCTGTAATTACACGCAATTAAAGAATATGTAATGGTATAATGTTTTTTGTTCTTGGTTGTCACTAATATTAGTAATAACATCAAGCCATTGTAAAATTCATGACATTTTAGTTTTTGCTATAATTCTTTAATACCGGTACTATATTACCTGTTAATGCTTTTCTGGATCGGTACCAATACAGTTTTAGTTCTTTAAAAAGTTCACATAGTACAAGTATAGATTTAGAAAGCAACAACACCAAATTGGCTCTGGTGTATATCAATGTATTCATGGGGAAAGTGAAACCATCTTTTTAAGAGACAATAAGCTGAAGGCAAATGGAAGTAGTATTATATTTTTTTTCCCTACATGCGGACTATCCCCATCATATTTTATAATCAAATGACTAATTAGAAATAGAACCATAAGCAAATAGCAAAACTAAACTTATGATTATTGGTCTTCATTATATCATAGAATTTAAAAAATATACCTAAATAGAAATGTTCTTAATGTCATTTGTTGTGCTGTTACATAATTATTTTTATTACGAGAAAAATGGCCCGTTGAGGAAGGATACACCGGGCGCTAGGTTGATAGTGCTATCTATTTTCTCTAAACTAAAACCACCCCATCCCCCACACACACCCCCCCACACACCAACACTCCCCACCCTCACCCTCACCCCCCACACACCAACGGTAAACGGAAAAAAAGTCACAGGAAAAAAAAACACAGAAAAAAAGTCACAGTTTTTGCTAGGAAAAAAAGTCACAGAAAAAAAGTCACAGTGGTAAAATTTTATCGGAAAAAAAGTCACAGAAATAAAGTCACAGAAAAAAAGTCACAAAAATCTTTTTAGAATTTTTTTTATTAATTTGTTAAGAATTGTAAAATTTTGTATGTTTATTGTTGTGGGTTGTATTTTTTTATAGCATAAATTATTTATAGACGTTAAAAGCATTATGATTTATAACAATTGTAAAAATACTCTAAGATAATTAACACAACAATCTCAACTTTTGTTACGTATTTAGTTAGATACGCGGTAGAAAAGTTAATTATAAAAGAAATTTAGTCACATTTTGCCGTAGGCTATTCTCTGGTCGGCCTCTCCTCAGTAGGCATTGTCCGAACATATTTTGTGTTGTTGACGTTATGCGTCAATGACAGCCTTTGAACCTTGTCGGCTTTCTGTTTTGATCCTAAGTTTTGTTATGTAATGAGCGTGATAAATGTGGGCAGTAAAGGTGGTTGAACTAAACATAACTATTGTTGCCATGAGTTGAGGGCAGCAAGTCAGACGAACTTACCATTTCACGGTAATTTAATATTGGTATTTAAAAAAAAAACACGATGAAAAACGTGGACTTTGGAGCATTCTATTAAATGCTACTAATCTTAAGTTTAAAATAATTACAATCTACATACTTCATAATAAATATTTTTAGATGAATTATAAAAATTCCTATGCGTATACAGCCTACACACATTACATAACATTTAATTAATCCTAAGTTAATTTGCACTATCTAAATATTTAATACATAAAAGTATTGACAAATATCATGCAAATATATATTTGTGACTTTTTTTCCTGTGACTTTTTTTCCTGTGACTTTTTTTCCTGTGACTTTTTTTCTGTGTTTTTTTTTCCTGTGTTTTTTTTTCCTGTGACTTTTTTTCCTACAATCCACACCAACACCCCCCACCCCCCAAAAAAAAACATGTCTACCGTCCCATTCAACGAAATATAATTATATACTTTTTCCAGTGTCCGCCCCCTCCCCGAAAATTCTATCCCCGCCTCTGAAAATTTCAAGTACCCCCACCCCTCTCCGGGGAGGAAAAAGTCTGAAAGAAACACTGGTGTCGCGCTTAGCCACTACCCGAAGAATTGCATTAAAGAAATTGCAAGAAAACCACTTTTTAGATTAGACACATTAATTAGGCGGTAATTTTATTATAGAGTATCGATGAAGAAATTTCTTTTGAGTTAGGGAGGGGGGGGGGGCTCAGACGTTGTTACGCGGGGGTGGGGCTTCGCCCCTACCCGAAGAATTGTATGAATGAAACCACTGAGATTAGACAAAATTGGGTTTTTATTCAATGTTTACTCGATAATCAATGACGTCATATTACTGTGTACACTCTCCGGCTTGATAATATTTTCTTCTATATGCTCAATGACGTCATCTATAATAATAGTTTCGCTGTATTTTCATAGTTTCACTATGCATGTTTTTAATTTCCTTGTGTTTTCTCTAGAGCGTTCTTGTCAGACAGATAGATAGATACATAGAGAGACAGCGAAACTATTAGTATTAATGATCAAACATGAAGAAATTGTATAAACCTCACATTTCCCTTCCTCAAAATACATGTCTATTTCAAACCCTGGTGAATGTGACATGATTAAGTAAGAAACACATTACTCTTTATCAGAATCATACAATGGGTACGAGTTGCAAGTCAAATGAAAACAAAAATCTTTAAAAGCTGATGAATGTTTACTTTTCATTTAAAATATATAATAAACATTTTTAACAAAATGCACCAACAAAAATCCAGTATTTAATTAACAATGTTTACACATGTTATCACCAACAAGACATGAAATCAAACAGCAATGACTTCTCTTCTTGTCAGCCATTGGTATTGACCATTAAGGCTTGCTCTTGGCCAGTGGTTGAACCAACTACTGTCCCATCCACACCAATGAAGTAAATAGGATGTGAGGCCTCGTCTTGATCTTGAATATCCGCTATTTTATACTGGACCAGGTTCCCATGCTGGTCTCTGCCCATGTAAGTCTGACCAGGCCTGACCAGTTGAACCACTTCACCTGTGTCTGTGATGTATTCCAGGTTGCTAAGGTTACCTGAGGGTAGCTCCAGGCTTGCAGGTTTATCAGACTCCAGACTCAGGTCGTCATGTTTGTTAGCAACCAGAACCTCTATCATGGAGTGGTCCTGGTCACCCAAGTTTGAACTGAATGGGGTCTCTGAAATGGCGCAGAGGAGTTGGCTGGTGGATGCCGAGTAAATGTCAGGGTGAACCCCGCTGGTAGGAGACAGGAGGTCTTGTGTGTTGGGAGTTGATTTTAACAAATCGTGATCGGTGGTTGAAGTCAATAGTATCTCATGACCGATGGTTATTGCTTGCGAGGTAAAGGCTGATGCTGTCTGAGTCGAGGGTAAATTGAGGTTGAGTGCGGGCGATAAAAGTGGGAGGGTCTGTTTGACTGGCTGACCGTTGTGAATTCTTGCAACGTGTCGCTGCAAGTGATGCTTCTGGCGAAAGTTGTACCCACACTGTGGGCAGGAGAATTTGCCAACTGTGGTGTGGCTGCGGACGTGCGCTTTCCTCATGACGTCTGTTTTAAATCTCCATGTACAGCCAGGGTGTGTACACGGGAAGGGGCGGTTGTAGTCATGGACTTTCATATGCTTGTTCAATGTGGATCTGTCGATGTACGCATTGCCACAGATTTCACAGATGACTGAGCCGTTAGGATGGAGCTGGCGGTGGAGGTGTATGGCGGCACTACTATTAGAGACAAAACTGCACTGTGGGCAGTGGTAGTTTTTAGACTTGTGACTGCGGCGGTGAGAGACAAGGATGGCCTTGGTCTTGAAGGATTTGCCACAGTTGTCGCAGAGGTGGGTCCGCTCTGTTCTGTGCGTTGCCAGGTGCCGGCGCATGTACCGGAGTCTACTGAATACTTTGTGGCATGTGGGGCAATGGTATTTTCCTGGGGCGTCTTGGCGCTCAGGTTTTCTAATCCTCTTCCGAGGTAGTTTCAACTTCTGATTGCCAACAACATACTGAGACATTTTAATCACTTGGAAATCTTTCCACTTACAATCCCCATTGTCCTGTCTGATACCGCTAAAGGAATCTTTGTTTCGAATCTCTAGCATGGCATGTATTTCTAGAATATCTTTATGAGTGGTTTTCATATGCTTCACAAGAGATGGGTGCCAGGCAGTTGAAAAACTACAGTGCAAACATCTAAATTCTGTACGCTCGTATGTTAGGGAATTTCCTTTAATGCTGATATTCCCTAAAAGAAAATAGAAATCTAATGCACCAATGTCCAGTTCTTCCTCTGCTGTTATTGAAGGACTTAAAGGTGTGTGAGTGGGTTTAGGGTGTGGGGATATTTTTGTGTTTGATAAAATTGGAACAACGGAGTTTGGTTTGGGTCCTACAATAATAAAACTAGGCGATAACTTGGTGGCATCTTCCTGGCTCTCTGAGTGAATGTCCTCTCTTTTCAACATCACACTGCTGTCTAATGCTTTCTGCGCATGAATTTCTTGCTTTGTCAAATCAGCCGAGTTGTGCTGAGGACTGAAGTGGTTTGGCTGAGTCACCCCTAAATTTAGGTTCAGAGCCTCGCAAAAGCTTCGTGTGGCGTTAAGGTCAAGTGGCAAAGGCAACAAAATGGTGGTGGTTGATCCAGCGGACTGCAATAGCCCGACTGAGCCACCAGACAAAGGGTTCGGCCGGATTGATTTCAAGTGTTCAGTGTTGTATCCTGGGGCCATGTCGCCAATACTGAGAGGTGACAGCAGAGGTTTGCCATTTAGAGCTGAATATACAGTATCTGTACGGGGGTTAATCACACTGGCGGTTGTGTAAGTGCATGTATTGCCAAAAGAGGAAAAAACTATATTTTCTGCCCTTTTTGGATCATTTTCCTTCTGGTTGCTGATAATAGTGTATGGCATGGCCAATACTTTATCCATCATGGGCTTGTAGTCATCAGGACAAAGTTGGTTAGCAGAAGATTCATCAAGTTTTGCCAAACCATCATTTTCAACCAAGGGATTGTCATTGGGTGATGTTAAAAATATTTCATTTCCTGGGTCTCCATTCAGGGAGGATTTCTCTGATGCTAAATTAGTCTGTAGCAATTTAAATAAATATTATCATTCTTAATGTATACACATAAAAATAGTTTAATAAGTGCTTTATGTTAATATTTAAACTGTTTAACGTGTTTACTTAAAAAGATTTAAAAACGGTTTTTGATTGCAACTAAGATTTTTTGGATTGATAATTTATCCCATAAACAAAAATTTGCACAGAACTGTAAACCGACCCACCAAAAAGTAAACCCTTGTCAAATAGTTTCCCTTTTCTCAACAGAAATAGCCTCCCTTTACTTATAAGATAACAATTGTCACCCTACCATTTGTTTGGTTTCCGTGTCACCTATTTCTAAATGTACAGTGTGTTCTTGAAGAAGGTGAAGGACTAAATGGTTTTTGCTTGGAAACTGTTTTTCTGTTGAGCATAGTAGACATCCAATCAAACTGTCACATTCTGAAAAAAAAATTGAAGATTTAAAAGAGGTTTTTGATTTTCAATCTTAAATTATTTCAATTTACACTTTTCTTAATTAGTTACGTAGTTTTAAATGCTTTCATTGATTTTTTAAATTGCTACCAATAGAACAATATGTTACAGTAATTCTAAATCAGCCAGCAGTACAGAACATTATTATATAACCTGAAAAGTAGAAATATGCTGAAGGATAACTATGTTGATTGTATACAGTTTACATGACATGAACTAATCTAGAAAATACATGAATCTGTGATCAGCATTACAACTATGGAACTTTTTCAACAAAACACATTAAAATGTAACTTTTCTCAGCAACAGGGCATATTTCAATTTTTTTCCTATTTCCACAACCCTAAAAAACACTTTCCTAACCCATGTCATGCAGCCAACTTTAGATCATTACAAAACTGTGCTGCTCTGTAAGCAGAGTATTCATTTATTATTTACAACTGTATTTTTAATCTTTACAGAATTGCAGACATTTTTTTATATTACTTATTGTTTAAATATCTCGTAACATCCAGAATCATACATGTTGTGCGTATTTATAATATTGTTAATGTTAATATTCTAACTGGATTTCACAGTCTATTGTTTACCTGTTTCAGACATAACATAATTAAAACAAGAACTTTAATAGTGATAGATTTTCAGATAGATAGCCCTGTCATCTTTAGTTTATTTTCATACCTGAAAACCCTGCCATTTTGCTTGTGGTAAACATTTCAAACAGTAATTCTGTAATTCAATGGAACTAAGATGAAAAATCATCTAAACTTATGCATCCAGTGTTGACGCCTTAGTGCTAGCAACTAGCCACGCCCCCTGGTTAGCGAGCAATATTAAATACTGAAAAAAATTTGATTTTAGCAAACTCACCTTTGATTTTGTGACTTAAGAACAGCTGAATGTTACTGAAGATGGTGAAACATTTCCCGCATTTGTATTCATCCATTTTGAGATATTAACAGTCAATATACCTGAATTAAATAGAAATGTAGTCAAATTAATACATTTGTAATTAAGCATATCAATAAAAACAATTAGGCCTAACCGACTGAAAGGAGATTGTTTATTTGATTGTTTTGAACTTATATTTAACTCAATGCAACGGGAACGTTCTGATCAGGATTCAAAGGGACGACATGAAATATCATCCAAAGTATTAAATTAAATAGGCTAACTATAAGGCCTAATTATTAGTAGTTAATAGTAATACTAACTAGTAATTAGGCCTATTTGGGTAGATTAGAAATATTTCTGAAATATTTAGAGTAGAGACTGTGTTAGTTGTTAGTTAATAGAGTCTAGTAGGGCAGTAGGCCTTTTAAAAATCTAAATCTTCTACAGTACAGTCCACATAATTTAGAAGAAAGACTAGATTCTAGATCTACCTTGTAGAGTACAACACTCATCACTAGTCTAGTAAAAACAGTAACAAACAAGATAATTTACTTTAAATTTACCAGACCAAAATCAAAAATGCAAATGACAAAGTATTAATTTTAAAGTAAAAATTAAAAAAATGTTTTACTTCGAACTTCAAAAAGTTTAATTTGAAAATACTTAGATCTAGATCTATTACTAGACTTTACTAGTACCAAGATCTAAAATTCTAGAAGACTATATCTAATTCTACAGATCTAGATTCTAGATCTAGTCTAGATCTAAACAAATCTAGATTCTAGATCTATCAAAAACTTGATCTAGTCTAGATCTAGATCTCTAGATCTAGTAGAAGTATTAAGTTCGCAAACTCTTCCTGCTACCAAAGACAGGTTGCCAGATCAATACATAAAGTTACCGTAAAAAAACAACCGAAAAGACAACAGATCTAGGACTAGTCTATCTATAATTATAATATTTCTCTGCTCATGTCCCTAAGCCTAATACTGATTTAAAAATTATCGTGTGGATTTAGCGATTGCATTTCGATTTTAAAAATCAAGAGATGTATCTCGATTATCTAGATCTATATTTCTTGCCTAGATAGCAAATTTTAAGTAATAAATTTAGCCTAACTGAACTGGTCTTGTAACAACCCTAACTCTGAGAGCAAGAGTTACCGTTACTGAGGTTGACTGCTATCGCAAGCAGGAGAGGCTAACCGCCAAGAAGGTTTGTGTATTTTGGTTCTATGACTGGATTCTAGATTCCAGATGGGGTCTCCTTTTTAAAATTATTGATAACAATACCTAGATCTAGGTTCAAGTAGATCTCTTAGTGTCCATAGTAACTAGTTGTACTATAATGATCAGTAATTCGTCGATTTCACAAAGTCGCTAGACCAGCCAGGTTAGCCTGGCCTAGCTACCTGACCTGTGACTGTGTTCTTCTTACATAAACATTTCATTATATAATTATTAGATCTAGATGTCTAGATCTATATAGAATCTAGTCTAATATCATACATTATTATATAATATATATTCTAGATCTAGAATCTAGATCTAGATCTATTTGATCTAGATCTATATCTAGAATACTTAGTTTACTTGACTTAGGTTGGATGTAATGCCTGTGCAACCTCAGATTACAGTTTAATCTGAGTTTAATTAAAGTTTAATGTTAATCTTTAGTTGAAACTAAGCATGTAACTTACTTAACTTAAAACTTACTAACGTGGCTTAAGGCTTAAGGTTAATGGACAACATACTCAACAATACATATTACATAACTTTACTTTATGGCTTTAACTTTAACAGTGATGTAGATCTAGCCTGCAAGATAAGCAGTTAGATTCCTGATCCTGAAACCAGTTAAAAAGTTAAAGGCTAGTTCCCCTAGTGAAGAGAGACATGACACTTTTTTCACCAGCTCTATTCAATCTCATTATAAAATAAAAATATTTGGGCCTAATGCTAATACTAGTATATTATATTGACTATTGTCAAATGCTTAGTGAACTAGCCTAGCACCCCCCCCCCCCCCACACACACACACTCCCACTGAACAATTCATGTCTCAAAACATTTTAACTAGCCTTAACCACTAGAGCTAAGACTGAGATGTAAATTATATTTTTCTTATTACAGGTAATTTACATTCAATATGCACAGCTAGTGTTACCCCAGTCTCAACTCTGAAACATACAGTCATGTCTACTGTTTGTAACAGGTGCTTGGGGGCACTAAAGCAAGCCAATCAACTGTCATCGTCATCAAAAAGTGTTCACTTTTCAATAAATTATACACAAATCATTAGAAATAAGGCATCTGTGTTATTATATAGAAAAATAATGCCAGATTTAAATTGCAGTGCAAACAGATTTTTCTGTGCAGTGAAACCTATACCCCCTAAACCAAAATGGAGAAAATTGAAAATATTGGCGTTAGCTTTAGGTTTAACATCAGTTGGTGGTGCTGTCTATTATACATCTTTAAGTTCTATACAGCAGAGAAAGTTAATTGTGTTTTCTGGTGGTGTGCGACGCTTTTTCCGGTAAGTTTATATTAAAATTTTAGTTTTATTTTAATAACTACAGTTAATCATGATTTTAAAAGTATTTACTTTTTGTCAAAAGATTCTTAAGTTTAGGTTACTCAATTTGTTTCACAAAGCAAAACTGAAAGTGTTTTTAAATTTAAACTTTAGGTCACTGATTATAGGAACTTTAATTTCTGCTGATTATAAATGGACTTTGTACAATGTTGCGGAAGGCTCTGAGCAGTATGAACAGCTACTGCGTACTTGCCACCAACGAGCAGCTGACAGACTTCTTGTAGGATGTTTAAAAAATGGAGGTCTCTATATCAAACTAGGTCAAGGTAATGATTAGTCTTAAGAAATGTTTCTGTTTAAATGAATTATCGTTGAAATTTACTTCCATTGATGTAAATTCATTATTTTAAAAATATTCTAAGGTATTTTCTAATTATTTTTTTAAAATAATTTCTATATTTGGAGTCAATTCGGTTTTAATTAATTTTTTTAATTAGAAATATTTTTTAGCTTAAGCTCCGTTATTATAAGATTTATTTAAAAAAAATATTTTCAGGTTTAGTTTCCATGAATCATATTTTACCTAAAGAGTACCTTAACACATTGGTTGTGCTCCAAGATAAAGCTCTGACAAGAAAACCTCATGAGGTAGGAACTTATACTTTATAATCTCTTAAACAATTTTGTATTGTAATATTACTGTCCCCCTACAGCATCTCAATATATGTAGTATACTAATCTATATATATAATTCTCTTCTTGGAGACGTTAGAAAACACCAAGCTGTAAGCGCGCCTATCAGTCCCCTCTCTTCCTCTCTAGGCATATCGCAACCACCCCCACATGGTCTGGTGAGCTGTGGTTCAAGCTAAATGTTTACAATCGTAGAGCCGGGTTTAGTGATGCCTATTAGAGGCAGATAATTTAGTTTGAAACTATTTTAAACTTAGGGGAGGTATCTAAGAGGAGGCTGCTTTCACGGGGGGGGGGGGGGTAAAGGAGGGTTTTAGTGTTTTAAAGCAAATATTTTCTGTGTCAGCATTGGTACTGTTGAATTCACAAATTATGAATTACTGAAAAGTAGAAAATAAAACTAAATAGCGGCGTATAATACGCCGCGGGTCGGCTCGTATATTTACAGTTAAACAGTTCATTGGTATATGGAAGTTTTTGTTAATAATTGAAATGCTGTATTTTCTTTCTAAGGTTGAGCAGCTATTTATGGAAGATTTTGGTAAGAAACCTGAAGAGCTGTTTGCAGAGTTTGAGCCAGAGCCTATAGCTGCAGCAAGTTTAGCTCAAGTACACAAAGCAACAACTTTTGATGGTAGGAAAGTGGCAGTGAAGGTACTAGATTTTTAGTCGATATACTCGTTTGTACAAAGACAGGTGAAGATAGTAGCTTTAAGTATCTTGAATAAAAAAAAAAAGCTTTAGTTTTCAGTAAAAAACACTTTCTTTTAGAGAAAAAGTATCTTTGCTATAGTTTTTCTTTTTTTATTTGGACCATCAAACCTTGCAAATCTTGGGTCTGTCACAGAAAAACAGTAATTACATTTCATTGCTTATTGAATTTATTTTTTAAAAAATATTTATGTAAGCCTACCAGATGCATGAAAACAATGTTTTTTGTAAATAATATTGTCTGTAGTGACATTGTTAAATGCTGTTGCTATTCTTATTTTCCACACATATTCATGGATTATTGGCTGTATACTAATAAATAAATATTTTCAAGGAATGATATATTTCAGAAGATCTAATGTTTCCCCAGGTTCAGTACATTGACTTGAGGGACAGGTTTTCTGGTGACATTTTAACCTGCGAGATTTTGTTAAAACTTATTGGGTGGGTGCATCCAAAGTTTTCATTTTCTTGGGTTCTTCAGGTAACAAAATATTTATAATAATAATCAGTAGGCTTACCACTTTGAAAAAAAAATATGTCTTCTTTTTTTCTTTTTTTTTATATTTATGTCTATTTAGTAACTGTCATGAAATCTTTTATTACTTTATTACTTTTATTACTTTTTTTCTCATAAATAGTGTAGATTTTAATTTTAATTAATGACTTCAGGATCTAAAAGAAACTCTAAGACAAGAGCTGGATTTTGAAAATGAAGGAAGGAATGCTGAGCGATGCCAGCGAGACTTGTCACATTTGAAATTTATTTACGTTCCAAAAGTTTACTGGAATATGACTACTAAAGTGAGTCTTAAAAATTTACAAATTTGATAACATTTAGTTTATGGTTTTAATATTTTACTTTAAAATTTTTATAGCAAACATTAATTTAAATGAATTAAAATTTTCAGTCTGATATTTTTAATATTAACAAAGCTTATTAACATGCAGCAGAACTTCTGTAAAACTTTTCTCAGACTGTTGATCGGCCAACTGTGTATAATAATTATTATTCACATAATCATATACTTTAAGTATTACGTAGATGATTTTTAAAAACAGATAAGCAATTCATTTTTTATGATAAATAGTCTTACAGAAATGTGAAAACTTTTTGTAATGATAAACATTGTCTTAAAATTAATGTCATTTATTGAGTTTTTTTCATAATTAAATTTTAATCTTATTAACTGCATTTTAATGTATATATATATATACTTCAATGTATACTTCAATTATTTAGACATTATCATTAGAACCCCAAATGTTTATTTTTACAATCTTGTTCCAGAGAGTTTTAACAGCTGAGTATATTGATGGTGTAAAGATCAACAATCTTGAGGGGATCAAGGCTTATGGGCTCAGCTTACAAGATGTAAATAACTGAATATTGTCTGTTAAATTGTCTTTTCTTAATTACCTACTGTATTGATTTTTACACTGTTATTTAGCTGTTCTCATTTGGTAAGACTTTTTCGGGTTTATTAAGTTAGTTTCTATGATGAACATGAAAAGGAGAATGGCTAAGCCAACAGGAAATTTTAATGTAATATTTGTTTTTAATGTCTCCAAGTCTTGTATATAGGTACAATCATCTTAGTGTATATTCATTTCTTGAGGTTTAACAAATATCAGTACCAATAACTCTGGAGTCATCAAAATTTAGCCTTACTGGGGTTATCTTTCCTGTAAGACAATTCATTGTAAAGTAATGTTGGAATTTTTTTTACTAAGTTGAGGTAGTTTGTTGGTCAAGGTGATTCCTACAGCCCTCCTTTTTTCCCTTGTTTAATTTATTGTATGTTAACCAAGACCAGGTATTAAGTTACTCTTTTGGACCTGGTAATTCATTAGGCAAATGATGTAGCATTCACTTGTTTCTGTGACCTTTGCATATGAAGGGATAGTGTGGCTAGCACAATACCAAGCTGCCTTTACTTTCACTAAACTACTCAGCTACCCATCGTAGAGCTATGTGGATGTCCTGTATGACTTTAGTCAGGATCTGAACTCGAGACTTTTGGCTTAGCAGTCATTGGTGCAACTGTCTAACCACACCATGAGACCAGGTGTTATAGTAGAGAATTTACTAATTAAATTGCAGCACTTTTCTGTGTGTTGTACACTAAACTAACAAGTCAATACAATTTGTTGTGATGTACTGTTGCAACTGTTGTACACTAAACTAACAAGTCAATACAATTTGTTGTGATGTACTGTTGCAACTGTTGTACACTAAACTAACAAGTCAATACAATTTGTTGTGATGTACTGTTGCAACTGTTGTACACTAAACTAACAAGTCAATACAATTTGTTGTGATGTACTGTTGCAACTGTTGTACACTAAACTAACAAGTCAATACAATTTGTTGTGATGTACTGTTGCAACTGCAACCTTTACCATCTGTTGTTGCCTTTTATTCCAGGTGGACCAGAAACTTGTGAAATCATTTTCTGACCAAATTTTCCTCTCTGGTTTTGTTCATGCTGACCCTCATCCAGGCAACGGTAATGTTAAAAATGTGAACTTGTTATTTGTGTTGATGGTGTCTTGAATTAGTTTTATGAACATTCTGTGTTATTTCGATGTCTTTAGAGCACTAGCTCATAACGAGGGCAAACCACGCATGGCCTTGATTTTGTTTAGATATACTGTTCTATCTTCACAGTAACTTTTTCTTCTATCTTTGTATCTATCCCATAACCCTAGGAGGTTTGATTGGGCACCATAGTTGACTTTTTCATACATTTTTGCCATCTTTTTTGTCTTCTGCTGCTTTTAGTTATTCTCCAATGGACAACTCAGTCAGTTCCTTGATGTCTTCCATCTCATTTTGTCTTAAGCTGCTTTTTGTTATTCTGCAATAGACAACCCAGTCCCTTTCTTGATGTCTTCTATCCAAATTTGTCTTTAGCCGCTTTTAGTTAGTCTTCAATGGACTACCCAGTCACTTCTCTACTTAGGTTTCTGTGTTGTTTTTCACCATTTTTTTTACTATTGATAAGAAACAAATCAGTAGAGATAACTACTTAAACACTAGACTATGTTGCTCTTAGCCACACTAGACTTTATATCTACTTTAATACATACTTCACTATGTTATTCTTATCAATACTAGACTAACAAGATTTTTCTTCACTGCTGTGTTTAAAAAATGTCCTATTTTAACCCACCAGTGTTTGTGAGGAAAGGCTCAGATGGTAAAGCCCAGTTAGTGTTACTTGATCACGGGCTGTATGACACCATCAAGGGAGATCACCGCAGAGCCCTGTGTCAGCTTTACAAGGCTATCATCATGAACGATGAAGAAGCCATGGATTCCTACTCACAAAAGCTTGGTGTTGAAGGTTAGTTTTTTTTGCTATAAATATTTTCTAAAATCTTAAGTTACAAGTGTTTAAAAACATTTGTGTTAAATCTTTGTTCTGCCTTTAATCGTAATTGAGTTAGCATAAAATGGACATTCTTGAATAGTTTCAATTGTGAACACTGCTCTGGGGTTTGAAGTGGC